TAACTGAATATCTGCGGTTAGGAGTTAAACACAATTCCTGCATGGTTTCCTGCCATTATTACTGTTTACTGATTGCTTCCTACATACTGCTTACTTTTTGTATAGGTGTGTCATATGAAAAGCTCACCACCAAAGAACCAGTTTTAGGTTTAAAACATGATGCAAATAGGTGTGTCACAAATTACTGAGAGCTTTGTTCTCAGTGTTATTCTTTAATATAAATTGGTCTACACTAGGGCTAAGGTTGTTATCAATATTATATCATCTGGATATTAGACTAGATCAGCGTGCCCAGGCGCAGAGGCATGACAGGGGGGGCGCGAGAGACCAGAGGAAAAATGGTTATTTAAAAAAATAATAATAATTTGAAAAATTATTGATTTGAAAATAATATCATACAGTACAATTACGTCAGGGTACTGTTTCATTCAAGCTCGGCTCTGTGTGTGTGTGGAACGAGCCATTGTGTGTGCGTGCGTACGTGCGCGAGCGAGAGAGAGAGTGCACCGGTACCGGAGATCGTTGTTGTTAGCTTCTGGTGCTAGCGAGTGACGCTAACGGATATTAGGAGCTTTTTCAACAACAAGGTGGATGAGAGTCCTCTCCTGTCAGACTGAGAGGCTCAGTGAGGTAAAGTTCTCTGAGTGTTTAGTTAACTTTAGTCTAAGTTATCTCAGTGGGTCTCAAACGGTTTTGTCACGATTAATGTAAACAATTATTTCCGAGGCACACTTTATATGATCATTATAGTTATAAAAAAGAGAATAAATGAAAAACAGGTATGAAATACTATATGACATTAAAAAAAAAAAAAAAGTTTAAAAGGGTGATTTGTAAAATATCCATAAACAAAAAGTAAATCTGTTTACAGTTCTGTTTGAAATGGGTGTTGAGAGTGCACCAGATGGATGCTTTTAACTTCAATATTTAAAAGAAAATCCGTGAGCTGATTATCGAGCCTTCATTGTAACTGTCGCGGGTACACTGTGTATTTGCGTGGGGAGTGTTGCAGTAGAAAATTCCACTGTAGCGACCGGTACATTAATGGGAAACCCTAAATGTTTGAGCACCCTCTATGAAACGTCAAACTACCCCACAGCACCCCCAAAAGAAATCTCCGGCGCCGCCACAGAGCCTGCAACCCCGTTTTGAAGAAATGTGCTGTGCAAAACAGGCTCATTGCAGCCATCTCTGCTGATAAGACACACTTTCTGCCAAATATCAGCATTTTCTTTGCAAAGTATTATAACTTATTGTTCTAGCAAAGGGATTGCACAATTGTATTATGTATTTATTTTTTGGAGCACACAGACTTATGGAGCATTGTTTTATTATCACTATTCTAGCAAAGGAATGCTCACATTCATATTGATGTATTTTAATAAATGTTAACTTGGCCCATTACATGACTATTTGTATTGGGGGGGGGGCCCGACTTTTTTTTTTCTCCAAAGGGGGGGCCTGACAGAAAAGGTTTGAGAACCACTGGACTAGATATAGTCTAAATACAGTAAAACTGCATGAGGGTAATTTCCTGGCTTTAAGGCTAAATTACAGCCCACAATATGCGTTTAGTCAAAAATGTTGTGATGGGCAATATTCTCCATATCGCAAAGCCCTATAGTCTAAACAACAGGATGTGGACATACTGTATGTATTGCTATATTGCCATAATAGCCATCTTAAACTTATTATCCTGACTTGAATGGTTAGCTTGAAGATCAGCAAAAAACATATACAATTAAAAGTTACTCTGTCTACAATCATTTCATGTATTAATCCCACTTCTTTCTTTTTCAACAAAGAAGTGTATTTTAAATATGTTCTTCTTCCACACTACAGGTATTAATATGGCTGCTGCAAACTATCTGACATCTGAAGATCAGTTCCTCTGCTCCATCTGTCTGGATGTGTTCACTGATCCAGTCAGCACATCATGTGGACACAACTTCTGTAAAACCTGCATCACTGAACACTGGGATAGAAGTGACAGGTGCCAGTGTCCAATGTGTAAACAAGAATTCAACACAAGACCTGAGCTGCACGTTAACACTTTCATCTCTGGGATGGTAGCTCAGTTCAGACAGTCGGCTCAACAGAAAGCCAGCAGCAGCAGCAGCAGCAGCAGCAGCTCAGAGCAACAAGTCTTCAAAGCAGGAGAAGTTCCCTGTGACGTCTGCACTGGAACCAAACTGAAGGCCCTGAAGTCCTGCCTGGTGTGTCTGACCTCCTACTGTGAGACTCACCTGGAGCCTCATCTGACAATGTCAGGTCTGAAAAGGCATCAGTTGATCGACCCTGTGGAGAACCTGGAAGACAGGATGTGTCCGAAGCACGATAAACCTCTGGAGCTGTTCTGTAGGACCGACCAGACATGTGTCTGTATGCTCTGCCATGTTTCAGACCACAAGATGCACAATGTGGTTCCTCTCAAAGAAGCATATGAAGGTAAAAAGGCAGCGCTGGGGAAGACAGAGGCTGAAACTCAGCAGATGATCCAGAAAAAACGACTGAAGATTGAGGAGATCAAACACTCAGTGGACCTCAGTAAGGAAGAAGCAGACAGAGAGGTAGCAGAAGGAGTTCAGGTCTTCACTGCTCTGAAGGAGTCTGCTGAGAGAGGCCAGACCAATCTCATCAACACAATCAAAGAGAAGCAGAAAACAACTGAAAACCAGGCGGAAGATTTCATCAAAGAGCTGGAACAGGAAATCTCTGAGCTGAAGAAGAGAAGCTCTGAGGTGGAGCAGGTCACACACTCTGAAGACCACCTCCATCTTCTCCAAAGATTCATGTCCCTTAAAGTGGCTCCACCCACCAAGGACTGGACAGAGGTCAGCATCCATTCATCACATGAGGGAACTGTGGTGAGAGCTGTGGTTCAGGCAATCAATGAAGCGATGAAGAAGCTGATTGAAGCTGAACTGAAGAGGGTCCAGAAGTACGCAGTGGATGTGACTCTTGATCCTGATACAGCACATCTTGATCTCATCCTGTCTGATGATGGAAAACAAGTGAGTCATGGTGATGTAAAGAAGAATCTCCCAAACAACCCAGAGAGATTTTCTTGTTATTATTGTGTTTTGGGAAAGCAGAGTTTCTCTTCAGGCAGATTTTACTTTGAGGTTCAAGTTAAAGGAAAGACTCAGTGGGATTTAGGAGTGGCCAGAGAGTCCATCAACAGGAAGGGAGCGATCCCACTGAGCCCTGAAGAAGGTTATTGGTCTATATGTTTGAGAGATGGAAATGAATACAACGCTTCTGATGATCCTCCAGTCCTTCTCTCTCTGAAGTCTCAGCCTCAGAAGGTGGGGGTGTTTGTGGATTATGAGGAGGGTCTGATCTCCTTTTATGATGTAGATGCTGCAGCTCTTATCTACTCCTTCACTGGCTGCTCCTTCAACGGGAAACTCTTCCCATTCTTCAGTCCCTGGGATAATGATGGTGGTAAAAACTCTGCACCTCTGATCATCTCTCCCGTCAGAGTAAACTAGGATCACTTATCCTATATTGATTTATTTCCATTCAAGGTAATAAACAAACATATTTAGTGTCAAAACTATATAGCTTCCATCTTATTTTCTACACAATCTGTTTACTCTGGCAAATTGATTTACACAAGTCAACATTGTAAATTGTTGCATTAATCTTTGTGGAGAATATCTATTTAAACATCTGATGAAGCAACAAACATTATGTTTTACTTCCAGAAGGAATCACTGTTTCTGAGACCATGAAATATGTTCCCTTCAGTGTGACGAAACTGTTTTCTATTTGTTGTGCAGCCAAATAAATGCTTACTTTTCTAATGAACGGGGCCTTTATTAGGTATAAGGGATATTACATGCTTTTAGTGTCTACATAATAGAGTATTAAATTGTTATCAGCATAAAAAGTTGGACTACATTTGTAGAATAAATGCCAGCAACATTTTCCTTTTTGTGTAAAAAGGTGGTTTGGTTAATTACTGGGAACTTGAATCAAAGACATCTGTGAATATGTGTTTGTAAAATAAAATGAACTGTAAAATAAACTTTTTGTTGAACGACAGACCTGAGTGAGCAGTGACTTGAGCATCCAACACTAAACAGATTAGTCTGGTTTAAACGTTAAGTTGTATTTCATGATACATTTATTTAGTTTTAATGACTCCAGCTCAGGAATGATGGACTCTGCCACTACCTATGAACACTACTATATACAGAGAGGAAGTCAGTGCATTTAAATAATAAATATCTATCTCTGACAACTACAAATAGTATGAAAAATGCAGTTTCATTTAATAAAACTCTCCTTGTTTATAATTATTTGACCTCAACTCTATCGAGGGATGGGTGAAATGGCTAAAATCAACTATACCCATTATAGGTCATTTCATCCCCATAAGTATAAGGGGTTTAACAATAGCAACAACTCAAGCTATGATAATATAAGGATAACAAGTCAATGATATTTGTCAAGATTAGAAAAATAAATGAAGATCTTTCACAAATGTATGAATCTGATGCATCAGAATTTGTATTCGTATTAAATTAGTTTAATATTTTAACTTGAAAGGCATCCATTTCCCTTCTTTGAGTATATTCCTTTAGTCCCTGATATAAAGTTCTCTGCACTTTTAAATGTAGAGTTAACTCACAATGAGGTCCTCTTGTGAGAAATACAGTTTCCAGATTTATTTTGTACATCTATCAAACTAATGCTAAATAATACACCAGTCCTGCAATAAATAGAATGGGCATCAATGAGGATAGATAACAGAAAAAGGTTAAAAGTAGTCACATATCTAACATTTTCTTATTTCACATTACATTGTATATTACTATATTACAATTCTAGATTGATCTTGCCTTGGTGAAAAAGGTTAAACATCTCTGTGTCCAATAAACTAAACTGTTGTGGTTAAAGTAAAGCTGAGACAGTTTCAAGACAAATAATAAAAGTTAGCAACACTTTTCACATATCTGACTTCTCCCCACTGTTAGCAGCACCTTTGCTCCATTTTAACCTGAAGAGTCGCTGGTATTTCCCAAAACCTGTGTGAATCAGAGGGAGGGAACAACCAGCTGCAGTGAGAGGAGGAGCTACAGAGGAAAGAGGAGAGCTTACACGTCACACTCAGGAAACGAAAGTTAAGTTAGTCAGAGAGGCAGCCACACTGCAGTCGAGACTAGTCTCTGTTTCTGTCTAAAGAAAATACAAACTGAGTTCATCAGGTCTTTCTCAACAACACAGCAGAGTCTCTGTCAAACACTGGTGAGTACATCTGATTATATTTACACTTCCAACTAAATATGATACAAGTATGGTGTTGTTTGTCCTCAGGCCTACGGTTCAGCCCTCTGGATTTAACTAACCTGTAACTGAATATCTGAGGTTAGGAGTTTAACCTCATTCCTGGTTTCCTGCCATTATTACTGTTTACTGATTACTTCCTACATCCTGCTTACTCTTTTTTGTAGAGGTGTGTCATATTAAAAGCTTACCACCAAAGAACCAGTTTGAGGTTTAAAATGTGAAGCAAATAGGTGTGTCACAAAGTACTGAGAGCTTTGTTATCAGTGTTTTACTTTAAAGGTCCCATGTCATGCTTTTCCGGTTATGACCCGTCCCCTTGTGTGTTATGAAGGTTTTTCTGCATGTAAACGGTCTGCAGAGTCAAAAACCCTCAAAGTACACCCTGTAGCGAGTAAAACTCTAACACAGAAAATTAGGGGTGTAACGGTTCACAGAAGTCACGGTTCGGTACAACAAGGAAAAGCAAAAAGAAGTCCCAAATGCATAATTTTTTTTTGCTGTTATTTATGTTTAACAGTAGTGCAAGTTTTGGTATGAAAATAAGGAACTCTAACATTTGGAATCATTAACTGTATTACACAGTTAAAAACAAACCACAAACAGTAACACTCAGATGGCCATATTATTATAATGGCTGATATCAAACAAAAAGGTTCAATAAGCTGTACAACTAAAAATAATTTCTTGAAAATATTTAAATAAATAATAAAGTGTTTGAATCACAATCAATAAAAGGCAATACAGAACTGTATAACATCTCCTGATGTCAAAATATAAAATAAATACAATGATAAATATAAAACAAAATAAAATGTGCACCTTTTAGGAGCAATGTCTTATATGTGCAATTAACTTGTGAGTGTGTGAGAGGCCATTATGCCTAAATAAAGGTACTCAAGCTTTACTCTATTTTCAAGTTTTTCTTCAAAAAGATGAGTTTGTCTACGTTGTCAGCAGTGAGGGCAGATCTGTTGGCGGTAACTATGTCACCTGCCGTCGAGAAAACCCTCTCGCTGGGGACTGAGACTGACTCGGATGTGACTGAGCATGTTTGACGTGTTACCAGTGGCGTTGCGCAATATTTCGGGGCTCCCCCGCAGGTCGGACCATGGGGCCCCGCCCCCTCTCCTAAATCAATAATAGAGTGACATGGGATAGTATGGAAGCCCATTTCCGCCACTTGAAAAAAATAAAATCCCCATGAAAAGTCATAATTATGAGATAAAAAAGTCGAAATTATGAGATAAAAAGTCATAATAATGAGATAAAAAAGTCAAAATTATGAGATAAAAAGTCATAATAATGAGATAAAAAGTCATAATTATGAGATAAAAAAGTCGAAATTATGAGATAAAAAGTCATAATAATGAGATAAAAAAGTCGAAATTATGAGATAAAAAGTCATAATTATGAGATAAAAAGTCATAATAATGAGATAAAAAGTCTTAATTATGAGATAAGAAAGTCGAAATAATGAGATAAAAAGTCATAATTATGAGATAAAAAGTCATAATAATGAGATAAAAAGTCATAATTATGAGATAAGAAAGTCGAAATAATGAGATAAAAAGTCATAATTATGAGATAAGAAGTGCGCATGCGCTGCAGTGGCGCTGTCTTCAAAGGTCCCTTCATCACCTTGCTGCTCTCCACCATGCAAACGGCATCTAGTCCTAAATAAGGTGACTTTTGTAAATGTTAGATGTTATATAGCCTATATTGCAACTAAACTACAACAATGCAGTTCATAGCTTTGACATTACCTGTTAACGCCACTAATTATTTTAACGCGATTAACGCATGTGTATTTTTTTTCCTCGGCCGCCCCGTAGTTTCAGAGCGCATCGAGTTTACAATACCATCTACAAGCTGATGCTGACAGCCCCGCTCCTGCTGCCCGCTTGTGGCAGACCACACTTCCATGCTCACCGGCAGGCACTGGCTGTTGGGAGGACCGGGAGGGTGTGTGTATGTGTGGCACGAGCGAGCGAGAGAGAGACCTTACGTGCATTGTTGTTGTTAGCATCTGGTGCTAGCTAGCTGCGCTAACGGATAGAAGGAGCTGTTTAAATGAAAACAGAGGAGCGACATTTCGCCACAACTGCGCCGAGCACTTGACTTTATGCAGGAAGCCAGACAGTGGGACATTGTACGAGAAGTCAGCACACTCAGCACGGATAGTGCGCAACATGATTGCAGCGTCCAGGCAGCTCCCGTTCGAGCATATGCCTTGAGTTGCACATAGCGCCAACGATCCATCTCTCTCACACACACACACACACACACACACACACACACACACACACACACACACACACACACACACACACACACACACACACACACACACACACACACACACACACACACACACACACACACACACACACACACACACACACACACACACACACACACACACACACACACACACACACACACACACACCATTTGTATTGTATTATTGTATGAGAGAGGTTCCAGGTTGAATTGAGGCGAATATTTGTAATGTTCAGAGGTTGTTGTGTTTAATATTCATGAGAATATTTGTCATTGTTCAAATGATAATAAAAATTAGCATAAAGCATATTTGTCCACTCATATGTTGATAACAGTATTAAAAACTTGAAAAATATTCCTCTAAGGTACATTTAGAACGGATAAAAAATGTGCGATTAATTTGCGATTAATCGCGATTAACTATTTTAATCGACTGACAGCCCTAATAAAGATACATCTGATTTACACAGTATAGGGTCAGTAGGAACTTTCTGTATAATATACATCTGATTTAAACAGTAAGGTCAGTAGGAACTGTATAATAATATACATCTGATTTAAACATCATTGACAAATACAAACAAGTGGCTGTGTATTTTAAAAACAATTTCAGTGCTGTGGCAACATCGGGGATACGTGGCAAAATGGACTGATTTTCAATGAGCAGGGTTTGTGCAAGGTCTTTGATTGTTCCACGCTCAATTTTCTTTATAGTAGGCCTAAGAGCATTACGGAGGGACAGGATCTGGAAAGGAAACTCGGCTGACAGGTCGTCTTTATACTGGCCTGATAAAGCACTTGCGGACTCAGACAGATCCTTGTCTGTTGCGCGCAAAAGTTCGCGGGGAAGCAGAAAAGAAAATCGCTGTGCAACTTCGCTCATTCCAACAAATCGATTTTTGAGTTGGGCAACGACAATATCGATATTTGCGTAAAATACCGCCACTCTAAAATGCTCCCCTGGGTCTTGGAGCCGCTGGTCCTCGCAAAGCTCTGAAAAGTGCCTCTTTGTGCGCCTTGCGCGTCTGTCTTTGAAGAGACTGTGGACACCCCATGAGGATGCCAGGTCTTGCGTGTGCGCTTTTAAGCCATCAAACTCTCCTCGGAGTTGGGCAAGTGTATCGGTTGCGTTACCAAGCATTGCTGTCGCAAAAAAAATCTCTCCGCACCGAATATTCGAATATTCGCTGCAGATTACTACCAAATATCCGGAGCCCGAAAAATGGTATTCGGGACAGCCCTACAGCGTACACATGACGTAGCAACATAGCAGGGAGGGGGGGGGCCTCGCCCTCTGCGCCCTGTTCCCGCGTTACGAAATCTAAGAGGATAACCTACAGTGGGGGCGGGGCCCCCTAAGCTCCGGGGCTCCCCCGCACCACGCGCGGTGCAGGGGCCTCCACTACGCCACTGCGTGTTACCAATAGCATACCGCACCGCTGTCGAACAACGCCGACACACCGTCCTCGTCCGATCCACAACTCGCACCCCATCATTGTTGTAGTCCACAGGGAACCCAAAATGTTCCCACACAGCTGATTTAAAAGAAGCAGGTGGGTCTTCTAGCTCCTGTGTGTTGTGTGAACTCGCCATCGCTAACTGTTCTTCTTCATATATTGTGTTCGTTTTGTTGTGTTTTGTTCTTGTTCTTCATTTGTTATTTACGGGCGGCTGGCTTTTAGGCGCAATACCGCCCCCTGGATTATATATAGTGTAATACTGCCCTGAGGGACAGACTTTTTTCCCACTCGTAAAAAAAGGCGTATTCGCCGTGTGACTGCGTGTGCCGAACCGTGACGGTACAGGACGAATACGGATACCGGTACGGGACGAATACGGATACCGGTACGGGACGAATACGGATACCGTTACACCCCTACAGAAAATACCTGTCTATGCTGCCCCAGAACGCCTCGTTGGACATTTCTCTTTTTCCATTGTTTTCTTCCTGGGTATGGTGACATGCCCATACCCAAATGGACCCATTGGTCCAAATGGACCAATCCGTGGAGCCGTTACGTTAAGTCCGTGGATTGGTCAAAATGGACCAATCCACGGACTTCCTCACACACACACTCAATCTTTTCTCAGCTGCAGCTCCGCCGATTTCTCCTCCCTGAGACGGCTGTGAGTCGGTGTGTGAGCACACACACAAACTCCCAGCCAGGCTGCGGGTGTCGGGCTGGGTTTAGCTGTCTCGCAGACGGCCACTGGGCTCATAGGGAGGGGGGGCAGGAGCTCCAACAAGCCGTTTAGGACAGAGAGTGAATACACATACTATACAGAGATGCTGTATGAGAAACCAATATGAGTTTGGAACATTGAACAATATAAATATATTCTAGTAGACCTCAACAATGGAATTATGATCAGTAGAAATGGCCAAGACATGGGACCTCTAATATGAATTGGTTTACATTAGGGCTAATGTATTTATAAATGTCATATCATTATCTGGATATAGTCTTAGATTTCAGTAAAACTGCATGAGTGTCATTTCCTGGTTTAAAGTCTGCATTACAGTAAAGTGATGTCATGTTCTTAAATTACCAGACCGTTCTATCCGTTTTATTATTTGTGTTGACCCACTTGGTCATTATATCACCATTGATTATTATGATGATTATTTATCAAAAATATACACGTGAAAAAACTTTGTGCACAAATAGTAAAGCCCAGAATATGCCTTAGTATGCATTTAGTGAAAAAATATTGTTTTATATTCTCCATATCGCCAAGCCCTAGTCTATAAAAACAGGTTTATGGACATATTCATTGCGTATTGCCATGGTAGCTATCTTGAACATATTATCATGACTTGAATGGTTAGATGTGCAAAGTGCAAGTCAAAAGAAAGCATATACAATAAAATCCCCAAATTGTTTTTTTCAACAAAATAACTCTATTTTAAATAAAATGTTCTTCTTCCACACAACAGACGTAGATATGGCTGCAGCAAGCTATCTGCCATCTGAAGATCAGTTTCTCTGCTCCATCTGTCTGGATTTGTTCACTGATCCAGTCAGCACATCATGTGGACACAACTTCTGTAAAGACTGCATCACTGAACACTGGGATACAAGTGACAGGTGCCAGTGTCCCATGTGTAAAAAAGAGTTCAACACCAGACCTGAGCTGCATGTTAACACTTTCATCTCTGAGATGGTCGCTCAGTTCAGACAGTCGGCTCAACAGAAAGCCAGAAGCAGCAGCAGCTCAGAGCAACAAGTCTTCAAAGCAGGAGAAGTTCCCTGTGACGTCTGCACTGAAACCAAACTGAAGGCCCTGAAGTCCTGCCTGGTGTGTCTGACCTCCTACTGTGAGACTCACCTGGAGCCTCATCTGACAAAGTCAGTCCTGAAAAGACATCAGCTGATCGACCCTGTGGAGAACCTGGAAGACAGGATGTGTCCAAAGCACGACAAACCTCTGGAGCTCTTCTGTAAGACCGACCAGACATGTGTCTGCATGCTCTGCACTGTTTCAGACCACAAGATGCATGATGTGGTTCCTCTCAAAGAAGAATATGAAGATAAGAAGGCAGAGTTGGGGAAGACAGAGGCTAAAATTCAGCAGATGATCCAGAGGAGACGACTGAAGATTCAGGAAATCAAACACTCAGTCGACCTCACGGAGAAAGATGCAGACAGAGAGGTAGCAGAACTTTTTCAGGTTTTCACTGCTCTGAAGGAGTCTGTTGAGAGACTCATCAACACGATCAAAGAGAAGCAGAAAGAAACTGAAAAGAAGGCTGAAACTTTAATCAAAGAACTGGACCTAGAAATCTCTCAGCTGAAGAAGAGAAGTGCAAAGGTTGAACATCTCTCACGCTCTGAAGACCACCTCCATGTCCTCCAGGGTGTCAAGACCCTAAACATCCAACATCCATCACCCACCAAGGACTGGACAAAGGTCAGCATCCCTCCACCATCATATGAAGGGACTGTGGAAAATGCTGTGGCTCAGCTGGAACAGACACTCACTGAACTGAGGAAACTGCTTGAGGGAACTGTGGTGAGAGCTGTGGTTCAGCTGGAGGAGACTTTCAGCCAAGAGATGAAGGAGCTGATTGAACCTGAGCTGAAGGATGTCCAGAAGTACGCAGTAAATGTGACTCTTGATCCTGATACAGCACATCCCAATCTCATCCTGTCTGGTGGTGGAAAACGAGTCAGTCTTGGTGATGTGACAACAAATCTTGCATACAACCCAAAAAGATTTCATTATTCCGTTTGTGTTTTAGGGAAGCAGAGTTTCTCTTCAGGCACATTTTACTATGAGGTTCAAGTTAAAGGAAAGACTGACTGGGAGTTAGGAGTGGCCAGAGAGTCCATAAACCGGATGGGGAAAATCAGACTAAGCCCTCAGAGGGGTATCTGGATTGCCTGGTTGAGAAATGGAAATGAGTACAAAGCACTAGATGATCCTCCAGTCCTTCTCTCTCTGAAGTCTCAGCCTCAGAAGGTGGGGGTGTTTGTGGATTATGAGGAAGGTCTGGTCTCCTTTTATGATGTAGATGTTGCAGCTCTGATCTACTCCTTTACTGGCTGCTCCTTTACTGAGAAACTCTTCCCATACTTCAGTCCGTGTGTGAATGATGGTACTCAAAACTCTGCACCTCTGATCATCTCTCCTGTCAGAGTCAACTAATCACTTATCCTATATGGATTTATTTCCATTCAATGTAATAAACAAACACATTTAGTATCAAAACTGTATAACTTCCATCTTGTTTTCTACAGAATCTGTTTACTGTGTGGATTGGTTCACACTAAATTGTTAAGATATTTGATATTATGTATCCCATTACATAGTCAACACTATACATTGATGCATCCATCTTTATGGAGAATGAATATCCAGTAAACCTCTGATGAAGCCACAAACATTATTTTTCGCTTCAAGAATAAATCACCTTTTGTTATCAAATGTCACATTTGAATGTTGCTAAATTACTCTAAAGTTATTTGATGTGCAGCAAAAAAAATGTTGGAATATTTCAATGTCATTAAGGCTATGCCTATTCCATGCCTTCAATATGTAGAGAATATGTTATTGTTATTCTAGCATATAACATTTTTGGACGAATTGAATTAAAGTATACATGCCAACATAATTTTCATTTTTGTAGGAATGGTGGTTTGGCTATTTACTAATAACTTGGTGTATGTAATCTGTAAATGTGACTGTTAAATCAAAACTGTAAAATAAACTAGTTATTAGGGGTGCACCGAATGGGAAATTCTTGGCCGAAACCGATACCGAAAATAGGAAACAGTTGGCCGAAAACCGAATGCCGAAAGGCCGAAAATGATTAATAGAAATATATATATATAATGTATACATTTTTTACCAATGTTGTTCAGCTACCTGATTATGGAAATAGACATGATTATGGCAAAACTTAACTTAAATAATAATCACTATTATGGGTCCATAAAACATTTATTCAGCACTTTTGAATGCATACAGTACATTTATATATGTCATGTATGTGTCGCCAACTCGTTTCTAATATGCAAAGACAACAAATGCGTCTATGATGTATTTTCGATCAGACGAGATCTCTTTCCCCCGTCTGTGTGCGAGGGGGCGGGGCAGTTTACACACACGCAGCTGCTACATGCAGCGGAGCACACTGCGGAGATGGCGGAGAGAACGCGCTCCGAGGTGTGGTTACACTTTACCCGTCTCGATGTGGAGAATACTTGTTACCATAAGTGCAATAAGAGTTTAGCATGTAAGCACGAGCAATTTGTCTAAACATTTAGCAAAAGTGCACCGCATGCAGACGGAGGAATGTACCGGGTTCGACCGTCTTTCTAGCAGCTCTGTAGCCCCATCCACGAGTAACGTTTCCACGTCAGGTGTTATGTATGCTAGCAGCAACACACGGAGTTAACTACACTATACAAACATGGGTTAATGATTAGAGGTAACTGAGTTATTTAGTTTGTTAAAGTTTCAGCTATTCTGTTTACAGTCTGTCATCAGATTATTTAATACGATTTGTTAAAGGCTCAGGGCAATCTCGATGACAAAGGTCAATGTCCCCCCCCCCCCCCTGTGAGCCAGCCGCGAGCATGGTCGCCGCGTCTTTATTACGTCATCACAACCACACGTTAGGTTACCAACGTAAACCTGTTCTGACATTCGGTGATATTTTTTCGGTGCTAAAACCGAAAGCCGAAAGGGCCGTTTTAACCATTTTCGGCCGATAATTTTCGGTGGCCGAATATTCGGTGCATCCCTACTAGTTATTGAACATTGTTTGTTTTTATGACAAATGCATTGGGTTTCGTGTAAATCCTTCATCAACCCAGCCAGGGGCGGTTCTAGGGGGGGGGGCAGTGCCCCCCTTACACTGACCTCTGACCCCCCTGGTGGCCCCCCTAAAATGAAAAGTGAAACAAATGAAAAATGTATGATTTTATTACACAATTTATTGAATGACGGAATAGGCGGAACTAACGTTATTCGTCATTCTAGTCGGACCCATTAGAGCGGTGCACTCAGGACCCATTAGAGCGGTGCACTCACTTTCACTATCCGGCTGAAGCGCGCGAAAAACAAACACTTTTCATCTCGGATCATCAGAGGCTGTTGCATCCAAGAAAGACTGATTGAAACCTACGTTTACTACCACGATAATTGAAGGTGAGTTAAACTATTGTATCCGTGTAATTGTAGATGTAAAGTAGAGATGTAACTGTTCATTGCCTTTATTTTTATATAAACATGATATGGTGTTAGTGCAAAAATTGTACTATAACTTAAGCTGAAGCTAACAGTAATAACTATAAGATCTATCTGAAATAAATAAGTGTACTGAAACAAATACCAATAACTGTATTGCATTGTTTTCTTATGCGCAATTACTTCATACTGTCTAGTTCTCTTTTTCGTCCTGCATTTATTGTGCCCCCCTCAGAAAATAACTGGCCCCCCAGTCAAATTGGTCTAGAACCGCCACTGAACCCAGCACAGGGATGATGGACTCTGCCAGCAAGAAGAGTCATCTGTCCTCCTTTTTTAATTAAAACATTTCAAGAATTGTACCAATCATTAAAGGATATCAGACAAGGCAAATATTTGTTCATTGATACTCAGTTTCATTAAAAGGCAAAGACAACACAATAGAATGTGAAGTGTAAATCAAAGTAAGAATGGGTTGCGTTATATTATCTGAAACAAGCAAACATTTAAAAAGGTAATTACAGATATTGTAAAAATAATGCTGTTATTTTATCCATTATTAATCAATTAGCTGGTTGTACTTCTGTAACACCAGCATCCATGTACATCTCTTCCTGGTGTTATGGTGCAGAGTGTCCACTGGATGGAGCACAACACAAAGGAAAGATAAGCATGGAGTCACTGTACCCTGTAAAACAAACCCTGATATATGAGGAGACACAGTTTGTGCTAAACCAACACATTCTCACTCCCAACTCGGCCTATGTTGACGTTATGTCAGGTCCCTGTCGTCACTTTCCTTTAGCGTCGAGTTTCAACTATCGGAGTCCCATTGACTTGCACAGAGCTCCCTGAACGTTGGTAATAGACGAGTTGGGATCGCGGCGAAATGCTCTCCGCAGATCCATTCTCATAGCGTTTATCAACCTTTTTCTTACTCAATATCAAGCCACACTTATTGTGTTTACTTCTTTATTTTAATTGAATAATGTAGGACTTTTTTTGCCGTCAGTTATGGGGAGAGTAGGGGCTCAGAAAATTGAAATCTATTGTTTCATCATTTTTTCCTCTCACACATCCCAGAAACTGGCCCTCCCACTGTCTCGGAGACTTCAACCTCCAGACAGGGAAGACATGTGAACTAACATCTCTTCTTTGGCTAGTTCTGTGGGAACGTAATTTTTAGGAGACAGGGTAGCTGGGGGAATTCCGTTTGTTGCTTCAAATGCATTTTACATAGCTGTGCTTTACTTGTTTTTAAGCATCTCGACATACACAAGAACTGTATCAGTACCAGCTAATTAAAGTCTCTTTGACAGAGATTGTCCTGTACATGAAACCTGAACGACAAAGTTTCAAGGCAGCAGTCATCTCAACAAGTTAAATATATTGTTTTCATGTTATCATATATTTGAATAAAAGCACAAACAAATCACGGCAATACTCCCTCAGGACTTTTCTTCACAATGATGGTTTGAAAATAAAAGAACATGTTATTGTTCGAAAACCAATAATGAAATAGAAGTGTCTTATATATATTGAAATAAATATTATTGTTTTTATGGAACAGAAACCCCAATGTTCATATATATATATATATATATATAAAATAATGAAATTCTTAGAATTGTATTTAATAAACACAGTAATAATACAAAAACAATACAGCACACAATGCGTTCCTTCCTCTTTTAAAAAAAAGACTTTCCATCATAATTTCTCACATTGCATACAAACATATTTACAAAACAAAAAGAATATTTACGAACAACAAAATCAATTGATAAATACAATAAAGACATAAACATATAAAAATAAACGAAAATATCAAGACAACAAGGAGAAAGGGAAAGGAAGGGACATGCAGAAGAGAGAGTATTGTGCTAATGTATTACTGTGAGGAAATCCATTGTTGTGAAGTGTCTGGCCAAACGTGTGTGAAGAGGAATCTGCTCTGAATGTAGTGCATGAAAGGAGACCAGGTTTTATTGACGGGGGTTATATTGTCATTTTGTGTTGAAGAGAGTTTTCCCAGGTCTGAGGTCTTCCAGGTTTTGAGCGAATGGTTAATAGATCATTTTGTTCTGTCTCTCCAGTTGAGTAACATATGTCTTATTTGCTAGAGTTATTGCTATGATAATGAAAGTTTGGAGATCCTGTGGTATCAATGGAGGATAGATCTCCTTAGAGAGCTATGGAGGGGGTGAGGGGAATGCCGATTTTGAGGACCTCTGATAACTTTCTCATGACCTCTGACCGAAACCGGGTCACTTGTATTGAATGAGTTGTATTTCAGTTATGGGACATGCAAAATGTTTTATTACAGATGGTGTGGCAGTTAATATCTGTCTGATTTGGATCTGATGCCCATGTGTGTGTTGGTATGGAAACAGTGTTGTCGTGTTGAGAAAATAGTTTAGTACATTTGTACTTGTATATTTTTGGGTTGTGGTGAACATAGTTTTAGTAGTAATGAAGGCTGTAGATTGTCAAAGTTATATATTGTCTTATATCGCTTCCTTCAAATGTAGGGAATGGAAGTGACAGTGGTGGGGTAAATCATATGTTTGTATGACTTGGTCGCAGGTGCTATGAGAGCTGCAAAATAAAAGGTGCACTGGGTTTTTTCCAAACAAAATGTCAAACCAAAATGTTGATAACACATTTTCTGTCTGCGACAAGGTAACAGACAAAACCACATTGTGAAGTGAGGCGTTCAGGGAACCAATCTAAATACCAATGGCATCATTATGCTAAGGCATATACAGATTTCAATCAACAACCAATGTTATATATTACTACTTTGAAGGATATAAAGTTAGTATTATGATCTCTACTTGTTAACTCCTCCTGTAATATTTATTTCTGCCTGTTCACATCTAGATTTGAAATGGCTGTTGTTTCAGATGTTGGTGAGATCTCAGGCTCTATGAACACAGTCACTCTTTTTTCAGCTGAAAAGATTTACACTTTGTCATATTTTGACTTCACGACTCAGCACTTGTCTTTAGTTTTGGGAGAGAGTGGTTAATATCATTTAGGAAAATTGAGGTTGTTGTGAAGATCAGATAAAGCACATATAAGACTGCTACTTCCTGCCTGTAGATGTGTTATAACATTGTTTGTTCAGACTTTGTCACTGTACTGGGTTTATTGAGGAAGCAAAGAGATAACGTGTCTTTATTACTAAGAAATGATTAACCAATCTAACGTTGGTTTCTGGTAAAGCTGTTATCATATCACCTGATGAACAGCCTCATTGACGTCACTTTATCTCACTGTCATTAATGTTTGAACAAGTAGATGACAATTATTTTTGTTGACATTGACCTATTTTCACTGAACTCTGATCTAAATTATTTAATTAAGTTTTGAACAGGCTCATTCACAAATATCTGCACATTTAAAAACTTGAATTCATAAAACAATACAATCACTCTCTCTCTCTCAGTCAAACAGGTGGCTTTCTCAGCCTCTCTGTTGGCTTCAGGCTCGGGAACTATCGGACCATTTAATACTGAAACTAATCTGGTCTTCAGATACATCTTCTCAAACATTGGGAATGCCTACAACACAAACACAGGTACTCAAATCGCCACATTATAAGTCACAGAAATCTAACTTTTTTGGCTATGCACAATTCAAATACATGATCAACAAACACATCTCAAGTTACCTGCACTGACAAAAAATGTCCCACAGGTTTTTTCTTTGCACCAGTGAGAGGAGCCTAACACTTTGAACTCTACATTGGTGCTGACGGACATCCTTCACATCCTTCATGTGCTGTGTTGTTCAAGAACGGAGAGAGAGTTTGTCGTGCACATCAACATCAGACGTCTCTTTTTGGGTCATCTGCAAATGGTGCAACGCTGTTTCTAGAGGTTGGAGATGTTGTGTTTTTGCGTAGGTGTGAAAACTCAAGGATATATGACAGTTACAGTTATTTTATAGCACCTTTAGTGGTCATCTGCTATCACCATGTGAAAAGTCAGTACTATACAAGTTAAATTAATTGTTCCTTAATACGAAAACTGCACAAGAACAATATTCTTTTTAATCAGGTATATGTGTGAAGTTTTCGTTCTGTTTCGTTGCTGAATTTTCATGAAATACACAGTGATCAACAGTGTATCAACATTTGTACCAGATTTTTCTCAACATTAAAGGTAGTGTATGTAAGTTTGAGAAACTGGCTCGAGATCGCAAGAATTTGAAAATACACGACTGGAGAAAATATTCAACTTCCTTATAGAGCCCCTCCTCCAACACACACAATGACCAATGAGGGCACGAGATAAGTTTGTGCACAGATGGAAGGCTGACAGGCAGGTAGGCCATCCAGTTATTTTAGCCGTGCCGGCTAAAATGATTGGTCGTGCTTTTTACAGCACCACGGCTTCCACAGATGACATTTTTTTATGGATTTGTTCTCAAAGCACTTAAGATATTCATTGCTATCGGGATGTTAAGAGCATTCCATGGAATATAACAAAAAGTGTATCTCGAGCTGATTTCTCAAACTTACCTACCCACCTTTATATAAATGAAGTGCAATAATAAAAAATGGTGTAAATATTAAAAGTTCATTTAATTTACCTCACAATTTTGATAAATCCTGTTTCTTTGTTGCCTCGATCAAGATGACAAGGCCAAGATACCGATATGTTGGTTAGAGCTCAGCATCAAAACAACTTTACTTTTCCTGTCAGATCTTTCTGTGTTTTTTTTCTTTGTTTTTTAGAAATGTGAATAATTTAGTTCTGTTGATGTGACCGAGGACATTTAATTTCTTCTTTCAAATGCATCTTACATAGCTGTTCTTTATTTGTTTTTAAGTATCTCGACATATCCAAGAACTGTATTCGTAAAATGTACCCCTCCCTCATCAACCTTGAAGTTTAGCCTCAGTTGTAGCACCGTGGCTGCTGGTGTGGCAGCCCAGCTCGATGAGGGAGGGGTACATGTTGTCAGATTGAGAAAAAAAATTCACCAGGAGAGTTTTCTTGACTAATGGCGCATTTCCACTGCAGCGGGTAGCCCCGTTTAAGCATCCTTAAATCGTCCTCAAGCGGCCAGGCCAGTTTTTGGTGGCCTTTCCATATAGCGTAGCACCGGCTAGCGGGTACTTTTTCCCTCTTTTTCCGGCCCCATAAAATCGTGGTTCTATCAGGCCAGGGCCAGGGTTGAACTAGTGACGTCAACACTCTCGACTGCTGATTGGTCAGAGAGAATCGTCACAAGATCGCGCGCAAGATCATCCCTAGCGTCGCATATATATCTAGAAGCAAGCTTGCAGCATTTTTATACACAGCATTTTTGTAAACGGAGGAGCTACAAAAATGGCAACGTCAAAAAAAAGCACACCGTGGTCGACCGAGGAGGTGACGACGTTCCTACATTTCATTGGGGATGATAAAATCCAGCGGGAGCTCAACGGAACAACAAAGCCGATCGCCCCGCCTACACTGCGTTGCTACCCCAGGTCCTAAACTGTAATGGAAATGCGCCACGGCCTCGGACGGCCAGCGAGGCAGCCCAAGGCAGCCCGAGGCCTGAGCGAGGACGCTTAGGGACGCTTAAACGGGCCTACCCCGCTGCAGTGGAAATGTGCCATAATAGAATGAATTCTGGGGGTTGGAGCTTAGACTTTCCGACTTTCAATTTTAAGGACCAGCCTACTGAGGCTAAACTTCAAGGTTGATGAGGGAGGGGTAAATGCTGTTGGAATTTGAATACAATTCACAAGGAGAGTTTTCCTGACTATCATAACGAATTCCGGTGGTTGGAGCTTAAAATAAATGAATTCGAAAATGTACATGGCACTAAGGACCACCCTAAGGAGCATCTTACTCCAATAGTACAAATTTATAGAAAGAGTTCAGGCATCAGGAGTCACACCAGCTCATTCAAAGCTCATCTGGGTTAAACTGAAGTGCTATTTCATAATGAATATCAGACTGAAAGAACAACTAATGTCAATTAATGACAAAACTGGTGAAGTAACCAAAAAATTTACTTTCAATATTGATCGAGCTCTAATGATTTGTCAATGCAACTACAGCAAATTCTATTCAAATTATTTTCTTCTACTAAAGCTTAGCAGAGTACAGCATACTGGGTTCTCCCTTTAAGCTTTCTTCAGAAACTGATACGATGATATTAAATGTCCATTCCTCCAACACATCTTTGAGAAATGGCAGGAAGCCACTGCAGTCACGGGATACATATGTTTGCAACAAAAACATTTGATATCCGGTAAAAGAAAAGCGTGTATTTATATAAGAAGTTGTCACTCCATTATGAAAATACTTGCAGATCTGCAAAGTAATTCCTGAGAGAACAAAATGAGCCAGGGAGCACGAGAACCTGAGACATTACATTTGTTAGCATTTGTCAAGTTTTTAAGGTGTGCGAAGTGTGTCATAATATTTTGGTGCCCACAGTAATCGGGTGACTTGTATGTCGCGCCTGAAACCGATGCTGGTATCCCAGCAGTACTCTGGAGAGAGAACCTTGCTGGGTTTGTGGAGCAGCATGTACTTGTTCAGATGGCTCTCATCGTGCCACAGAGCTTCCACATTGTTCCGTTTGTCCTCCATGATGCCCTGATAGCAGGCCTCGGTCAACGCTTTCACATTCTTCCACGAGCCTCCGAAGATGGCAGCGTGGTAGTAAAAATCCCCAGTTTTCATGTACGCCTTGGAGTTTGGGTTGCGGTCGTAGGTGTACAAATACTTTGGAAGGTGGTAGTAGTGGGCGTGGAGCAGAGCCACTGAATCCCCAAGAGCCTCTGATCCAAATCTGCCGGTAAATACCTGATCCACATCAAAGCAGAAGACGTGCGTGCAGTGGTGGCGAATATCAGACTCTATCACATCTGATATGCTCTTCATTCGCATCATAGAGATGTCCTGCCACCTGGAGTTCTTCTCCACTTTGATCACCTTCATGCTTCTCAGAGGAGACAACTTGATGTTAGGCACCTTCTCTGGCATGTCCGTAAACACGTAGTAGGTCACGGGCAAACCCACCATAAAGTGTTGCTCGGCTGAGTTCAGGAATGTGTGTAGGTAAGCATCAAGGTATCTTTTGAGGAAAAGAAAACAAGTCACTTTTCTGTTCGACTCTTATCACTCTACCTCCAGAGGAAACTGAGGTCCATTGATTTGTGCAACAAAATGTTGCAGATCTTCTTTCGTCTGCTGCTGCAAGTAAAAACGGTTTGCTGCAATGTGCTGGGGCAGTGGTATCTGATCTGGTGACCAGAACCGACAAAACAAACAGTAGCCTATGATTTTATCTGTAACTGCACTACAATTCATTTTAACACTAGATGCAGCATGTCCACTTCACATGTTTATGAGCACAGTAAAACATATATTTTCAAAGTCAGCTATAGTAACTATAAGCACTGGGTTTTTTGGGGGGTCATTCTTTTGTGTTTTGTTGTCATTTTTTACAGTTTGTTATACCCCTGTCTGCTTTAACAGAAACCTGGTGCAGCCAACTTTTATTTCTACAATCTGTCCAACCATCACCTAGTTAAACATTAATGCACTAAACATACAGTTGGCTGAGCTGGAGGAGGTATTTAGGTTTGACGACAGATTATCTTTAGAGTTATTACTTTATTCATGTGAAACCAACCTGCCCACAGCAAAGACTGTTAGAGCCACAGAGGATCCTTTCATCTTGTGCATCTCGTCGTAGAGGCGGGCGTCAAACAGCCCTTCCCAGATGATGGCAGCTTTCCAATATGTACAGGTTTGCACATCAGGTCTGGACCTGAAATATAAAACAAAAGTCTTTTTGTTAGACTGAATTCCCTTTTATAATACTCTTCTTTACCAACCTGAAGCTTACTACAGGAAATGTGTAACTTAAACACAATCTGTTCAGCCAAATTGTAAACGGTCTTCTGGTCTTACTGAAGATTGAGGCTGGCGTCCACACTGCTGTCCAGATTTTTTGCACTTTCCAAATGGCATTTCTCCATAGGTATGAAGCCTATTAAAAGTCTAAAACAAAAAATAAAAACACATGTTCATTAAGTAATGTTAGCATTTAGGCTTACAGAAATTGTTCTTGTATGTAGTGTCCCGTAAATGTATCGCAGACTCACTTTACAGATGGAGATATTAAGTAGATAGCACAGAGTGTGATGGAAACAAAGAGCACACATTTGAAAACACTCCTCATCCTCTGAAGATGTCTGCGAAAAAAGAGCCAAAGATGTCAGATTAGTCAGATATCTCTGATTCTTAAAATGCAGAAGTGTGTGGCACCGTAGTTTAAACAATAACGTAGTATTTATTTTGTTTGTTTTTTATTTTAAAGATGTGAAATACCGCATTGTTGAAAAACGCTGGGGTCAAGGCTCAGTGTAAGGTGATCTCTCTTGTGAAAGAACGTGGCAGCAGCTGATGTTTCATGAATGAAACGGCACCTGAGAAAAGAAGAGGAAGTATTTTACTTATTGAAACAATTCTCATTGAATCTCATTGGTTCAAATTCGCCCATCTAGGTATGGCAGTGCTTTTCTTTTAACTTTCGAGATAGTGGAGGTGATAGGGTAGCTTAATATTGGTGTTGATTCCAAAATGATATTTTACAATATAAGATCTAAAAGTACAAGCTATGGAATATTAACACAAGCAGCCATTCAAGAAGTTTGCCAAAATAAAATACACTTACAAATTTGGTAACATTTAGATTTTATATATATTTTTTATTCCCCTATTCTCTGGAAGAGTTTAGTTAGAAAAGACACAAACAGTGCTAGTTATGTTGCGTTTTCCGGGAATTGCCAGTGTAAATAAAACAAACAAGTCCAACAATTAGACAAAAATCTTCATAAATTCTTGTCAATGTTCGAAAATATAACTCATAGTATGGAAACACCTTTAAACTGAATTCAGACTAAGAAAGACATTGTTGACCGGACCAATTGTGCACACAGGATAACGTAATTAAATTGACATACAAAGGTAACTTACCCGAGAGTCACCGGCATTCATCCATAATTCATCAAATACTAGCTTTACCAGGTAAATACCCCACCCTTGATGTTGTCTTAAGACACGATTTGTCTCCCTGCGGTTCAGCTTTGTGTTCTGGGTCAAAATGCAGAGGGGGAGCTTCTTGTTCAAAGGTCTTCTCTGACGTTAACAGGAAAACTACCTGCCCCTCTGTTTTTCAGGTGTGTTATCTACCAACGGATGCCGCTCCTATTCACTTCTCATTAAGTCTTTATATGTCTACACCAACGCCCTCTGTTATCTAACACCTAACTGTCGCCTAACTGTAGTGAAAAAGTACGGAAGAGGATTAGGGCCACATTAGGACAATGTTTTGGGATGTGACTGAAAGTAAAAAAAACACTTTGATTCTGAGAAAAAAAAACTGAATTCTGACTTAAAGATGATTTTGTCAGGGTTGAGTGAAGCAGGCAGGACCCAAATACAGATTTAAACAGAAAATACCTTTATTTCAAGGCTAATGTACAAACAGAACTCTTCCCAGTGAACACAGTCAAGACAAACAAGGATCTCTGTTACGTCCCAACTAGGGGAAGAGGAATGCAACACACACACCAGTATGTAATTGGTAATAATTATAAGTGGTTTTATTACAGAACAGGATGAAACAAAAGGGAAGGCGTGCAGCCTGAACAAACAAAAGGGCCAAAAGGGCACAGGTTGATAACCCAACAAAAGGAGGACTCTAAAAAAGGAGTCTAATGGCATACAGGGAAAATAAATAATATAAAGAACGAAACAAAACCTCACTTTAAAAGTGGTACAACTAACCAAAGAATCTATACAAAACACAGCTAAACTAAAGGCGACAATCACAGAATCAAAAACGACTCTAACCACTAACTAATCACACAAGGTTAACCACAGTTCAACAGAATTCACTAAGGAGCAAGTAGCGAGAGGCGTCTGTTCACTCAACAGAGCCTCCAGAGTGGTGATAGTCCGCGGCCTTTGTACTCCTCCCCAGCAGGTGTGAGGCCGGCTGTGCGCTGCGATTGGATGATGTCAATCCAATCACTATCTTCAGAGGAGGACCAGAGGATGGGCAGCCAATGACGTCAGGGCTACTGCGCAGCTTATTTACATATTACACGCACAGCTGAAAACACTCACAGGCAGATTAATGAGCAGACAGAAACAGCAACCGTAACAATCTCACAAAGACTAACAGGAAAAACGAACCTAAATGCACACAGGACTAATCAAAGAAACTGTTCTATTGTTATAAGTGTTCACTATAACTTATAGGCTCTTGCATAGGAAAGGATTGGACCAACGTGTAGGTTGACTTGCTCTCGTTCGTTTATTAATCACCGATGCACAACATGTTACATCATAAAGGTTCCTACCCTATTATGCCTGATACTACAGAAACAAGACACAGGTGAGGAGGGAGGAGAAAACACAGGGGCACCAGGTGAACACAATAAGGAAATCAGACACAGGGGGGCAAACACAGAGACAAGAATCAACAGACAAGACAGGGGGTGAACACTTTTCAAAATAAAACAGGAAACCAGAGACAGACAAAACACAAAATAGAGAGACTGTGACAGACAGACCGTGACAGACGACCCCCACCCCCTTCAAGGGACGGATCCCAGACATCCCTAAAAAAAAAAGAGTTAAAAACGTCCAACAGGGTGGGTGGAGTGGGACCGGAGGAGGGACTCGGACGGACATCCCGGGGCAAAGCGGAAGCCGAGAAGGGGGTCTCGGGCGGATGGCCCGGGGGCAAGGCAGAGTTCGAGGAGGGGGTCTTGGGCGGACGGCCCGGGGGCAAGGCAGAGTTCGAGGAGGGGGTCTCGGGCGGACGGCCCGGGGGCAAGGCAGAGTTCAAAAAGGGGCGGTAAATATAATGGTATAAAAAATTGTGTAAATATTAAAAGTTCATTTCATTTACCTCACAATTTTGATAAATCCTGTTTCTTTTTTGCCTCGATCAAGATGACAAGGCCAAGATACCGATATGTTGGTTAGAGCTCAGCATCAAAATAACTTTACTTATCCTGTCAGATATTTGTGTGTTTTTTTACTTTGTTTTATAGAAATGTGAATAATTTAGTTCTGTTGATGTGACCGAGGAAATTGAATTTCTTCTTTCAAATGCATCTTACATAGCTGCAGTGGCGGTTCTAGACCAATTTGACTGGGGGGGCCACTGGGGGGCCAGTTATTTTCTGAGGGGGGCACAATAAATGCAGGACGAAAAAGAGAACTAGACTGTATGAAGTAGTTGCGCATAAGAAAACAATGCAATACAGTTATTGGTATTTGTTTCAGTACACTTGTTTATTTCAGATAGATCTTATAGTTATTACTGTTAGCTTCAGCTTAAGTTATAGTGCAATGTTTGCACTAACACCATATTTATATAAAAATAAAGGTAATGAACAGTTACATCTCTACTTTACATAAGGGTGTCTGCACAATCCCACATTACAGCAACAAAATCCTGCGGTGTTTGGCAAACCGAGTACCAGAAAATATACATTTAAAAAAAGAAAAAAAAAACTTTTCATTGTTAGGGGGGCCACAGGGGGGTCAGAGGTCAGTGTTAGGGAGGCACTGCCCCCCCCCCCTAGAACCGCCCCTGCATAGCTGTTCTTTATTTGATTTTAAGTATCTCGACATATCCAAGAACTGTATTCGTAAAATGTACCCCTCCCTCATCAACCTTGAAGTTTAGCCTCAGTTGTAGCACCGTGGCTGCTGGTGTGGCAGCCCAGCTCGATGAGGGAGGGGTACATGTTGTCAGATTGAGAAAAAAAATTCACCAGGAGAGTTTTCTTGACTAATAGAATGAATTCTGGGGGTTGGAGCTTAGACTTTCCGACTTTCAATTTTAATGACCACCCTACTGAGGCTAAACTTCAAGGTTGATGAGGGAGGGGTAAATGCTGTTGGAATTTGAATACAATTCACCAGGAGTGTTTTCCTGACTATCATAACGAATTCCGGTGGTTTGAGCTTAAAATAAATGAATTCGAAAATGTACATGGCACTAAGGACCACCCTAAGGAGCATCTTACTCCAATAGTACACATTTATAGAAAGAGTTCAGGCATCAGGAGTCACACCAGCTCATTCAAAGCTCATCTGGGTTAAACTGAAGTGCTATTTCATAATGAATATCAGACTGAAAGAACAACTAATGTCAATTAATGACAAAACTGGCGAAGTAAACAAACAAATGTACTTTCAATATTGATCGAGCTCTAATGATTTGTCAATGCAACTACAGCAAATTCTATTCAAATCCTTTTCTTCTACTAAAGCTTAGCAGAGTACAGCATACTGGGTTCTCCCTTTAAGCTTTCTTCAGAAACTGATACGATGATATTAAATGTCCATTCCTCCAACACATCTTTGAGAAATGGCAGGAAGCCACTTCAGTCACGGGATACATATGTTTCTATTGTTCCATTCTGAATGAACTAAAGGCAAGACATCCCTAACATAACGTTTCTCTGTTGTTAGCATGTATGTCTACGACCCCCATTTCAATACGTTGTCAAATCATTCAAATTGGATGCTTTGAAGACAACATATTAATCTGACTGTGAGCCTCTCCGCTCACACAGGGTTCAAATAGGGACGGAAAGAGCCGGTTGGTTCATCACAGGCGTTTATTAGCTCCAAACAAAGTATACACAGGTCTCAAACGGTCCTTTGGCGACCTTCCAGGATCCCGCCTACTGCAAAACAGACCAGAACCAGGTTACCACATGCTTTTATTCCGTAACTGATTACCTGATTCCGATCAGCTGTCTGGCCTCAGGCCGAGCCACTCCCTTCACTCCAGCAGCCGGCGCCCTAACCACACCCCGCTGCCACACTGACTCACTGACATTATGGTGATTATATCTTAAATTGGTGAAGATATAATTAATAGACATTGTACATGAACACTGTGAATACAGTTAACGAAGAGCAGCACATCGCTTTACAGAAGAGGAAAGACTGACACACAAATCACACATTAACAGGGGGAAGAAAAGCTATTGAGCAGTGGCGAGCCGTCAGGGCCCTCTAGGCCCTCTGTGAGGGCCTAAGATATTCTAAAAAATAATATTTAAAAACATTTAAAAAATATTATTTTTTTTAAATATATATTTTTTAAATATTATTTTTGTTATATTTTTACCGAAAAAAACTTGATTTAATTGTATTTAAAATAAAATTTCCAAAGAAATAAATCCTTCGAATCTGCCTGTTCAGTTTCTGTTTGAATGTGAAGGGTTACATGAAAAAAGCTCGTCTGGCCCTCTATGCGATTCACAGAGGGCCCGCTATAGTAAAACAACGAGAGAGTAATGTCAAGTGACAGAACAATTGACCAATCATATCTTCCCTCTAAATGGGAGGGCTTTATTATCGCGGACTTTATGACAAGTTCCGCCCGCTGCGCTGCCAAGTTTATGCATGTGATATATCAACGGGTCAAGCTAGGCGGAATTAGCATACGTTCATTCACGATGGCTCACGTTAGTGATAGTGATGACATCGTTGCGAAACTACTAACCGAGTCTTTTTCAAGAATGAGTTACACGGATAAATTGGAGTTAATTACCAAAGGGCGACCAACACCACAGCTTAATTTGGTTAAAAAAACCAAACGGTTCGAGAGGCATTTTAATATCGGCAATTACGCCAGATACAACTGGATGACCGGATCAACCAGGGAACAAAAGCTGTACTGCTGGGATTGCTTGCTTTTTGGTGCGGACAGTGGGTCATGGGCCAGAGATGGATATTCTGATTTAGGAAGTTTATCCAAATCAGCACATCGCCATCAGAATGCTTCAGGTCACCTCAGAGCTACTATTCGGCTTAAAACATTTGGGGACACCAGGATAGAGCTCCAGCTGGATGAGCAACAACGCCGGGGTGTCATCCTTCATAATGAAAAGGTGAAGAGGAACCGAGGAATTTTGAAACGCCTGATAAATTGTGTGGTGTACTTGGGCAAGCAGGAGTGTCCGTTCCGAGGTCACGATGAGAGTGTAACTTCATCAAACAAGGGGAATTACATAGAGTTGCTGGATTTAGTGGCAGAATATGACAGCGACCTGCACACACACCTCGCCACATCAACAGTATTTACCGGCACATCTTCAAGGATTCAGAATGACCTGATCAGCGCTGTCGCTAGTGTAATGACGGATAGCATGAAAGAGGAGCTGAGGAAGGCACCTTTTGTTGCGGTCATGTTGGATGAAACGACAGACATTAGCAACGTGGCGCAGATGTCATATGTGCTTCGATATGTCACTGACGATGGGATAAAAGAGCGTTTCTTCAAGTACGAAGATGTGACAGAGGACAAACGAGCAGAGGCCATAGCTACACGGCTGCTGGAGTTCCTGAGGGAGAGTGGCTGTATTGACAAAGTGGTCGCGCAGTGCTACGATGGAGCAGCTGTTATGGCCTCTGGATTGAATGGGGTGCAAGCGAAAGTTAAGGAAACAATTCCACAGGCCCTTTTCATTCACTGCTATGCTCACATCTTAAATCTCGTCTTGTCAAAGGGAGCTTCCAAGATAAGAGAGTGTAAGGTCTTCTTCTCCCACCTCTCTGGCTTGGCCACCTTTTTCAGCCGCTCAGCAAAGCGCACCAAGCTACTGGATGATATTTGCCAGCATAGGCTTCCACGGGCAGCTCCTACTCGCTGGTGCTTTCATTCTCGCTTGGTGTGCACAGTGGCAGAGAAGACCAGGGAATTGAGAGAGGTAAGATAATAATAACAATGAACGTAATGGAAATATTAACAATAATAAATAAATGATTTAGTGTTGGAAACTACCCACTCATAAAAACATGAAGGTAAAGAACTATGCTAGTATTACATTAAATGAAAAGCTAATCTTAGTGTTTACTGGAGGTCTATAAGTTGTTTTTTCTAAACTAAGCATTACTCTCGTACAGTAGGTGTTCGAGCACATCGTAGACCATCACACAGAGTTTGATGACGAAACTGTTCATTGCTCTGATGGATACATCACCCTCCTTACCAGCTTCGATTTCAGCTTTTGGTTGAAAACCTTCCACGCTATCTTCTCCTACTCGGATGTTGTTTTTGAAATACTTCAGAACAAAGGTTTTGATATGCAGTTCTGCCTGGCCAGAGTGGATCAGCTACAGCGACAAATTGAACAGGAAAAGGGGAACTTTGACAGCGTCTACGATGAAACCCAGGCTTTGGTTGGTCCTCCGCGCGGCCGTGGAGCTCAAGGAGACGTTCGTGCACGGTACAGGGAGCTCCACTGCAGCGTAATTGACAGCCTGCTAACCCAGATTTCCAACCGCTTCAGTGACCACAAAAAGCTGGAATTCCTGGCCCTTCTGTACCCGCAACAGTTCGGGCATTACTGTAACTATTTCCCAACTGCTGCCTTGAACAGTTTGATGGAGAGCTATGGCGGATATTTCGACCAGCCTCGACTGCACACGGAACTCGCCGTGATGTACGGCATGTCTGACATTTTGGGGAAAAGCTCAGCCGACATTCATCAGTTTCTCCTCAAAAAAGGACTGAGTGAAAGCATGAAACAGGTGTACACCCTCTCATGCATCATCCTGACAATACCTGTGTCCACTGCCTCTGTGGAGAGGTCCTTCTCTGCGCTGAAGCGCATAAAAAGCTACTCGAGGTCCACGACTGGGCAAGTCCGACTGTCAGACTTGGCCTGAATTTCGATCGAGAAGGAATTGCTGATTGCTTTAAAAGCAAAGGATCAGCTGCATGACGACGCCATCAAGTACTTCATCCAAAAAGACAGGAGGATGGACTTTGTGTTTAGGTGATTTGATCATCAAAGGTAAGTCAAAGTGATTTTCAATGTGGGCCGCCGTGCCGACTTAATTCATTTGTAATTGTTACTTGGCTGTGGGTGCCCTGTCATGATAGGTGTTTATATAAATGGTGTTGTTTTGTGTGGTAGAGGGTCGCTGTCATTGATGCGTTTTGCACCCCGGGCCGCTGTTTTGATATTCCGCTGAAGTATAGGCTGTGACGTAAAAATGTTTTCTTTTTTTTTTCGAGGGAAGAGGGGGGTGGGGTCAGAGGGCCTAGGTAGAAAAGTCACGGCTCTCCACTGCTATTGAGATGTATAAAAAATTTGACAACATTTGAGTGTCAATAACTATCAGTTAAAAACAGAGATAGAGTGGCATTTCGCAAAGTGACATACAAATAAATAAGCTGGATCAACAAGTGCAGACAGTTTGATCAAACATGTAAAAAGTTGACTTATATACATCTGTAACCAGATGCAACAAAAACATTTGATATCCGGGTAAAATAAAAGCGTGTATTTATATAAGAAGTTGTCACTCCATTATGAAAATACTTGCAGATCTGCAAAGTAATTCCTGAGAGAACAAAATGAGCCAGGGAGCACGAGAACCTGAGACATTACATTTGTTAGCATTTGTCAAGTTTTTAAGGTGTGCGAAGTGTGTCATAATATTTTGGTGCCCACAGTAATCGGGTGACTTGTATGTCGCGCCTGAAACCGATGCTGGTATCCCAGCAGTACTCTGGAGAGAGAACCTTGCTGGGTTTGTGGAGCAGCATGTACTTGTTCAGATGGCTCTCATCGTGCCACAGAGCTTCCACATTGTTCCGTTTGTCCTCCATGATGCCCTGATAGCAGGCCTCGGTCAACGCTTTCACATTCTTCCACGAGCCTCCGAAGATGGCAGCGTGGTAGTAAAAATCCCCAGTTTTCATGTACGCCTTGGAGTTTGGGTTGCGGTCGTAGGTGTACAAATACTTTGGAAGGTGGTAGTAGTGGGCGTGGAGCAGAGCCACTGAATCCCCAAGAGCCTCTGATCCAAATCTGCCGGTAAATACCTGATCCACATCAAAGCAGAAGACGTGCGTGCAGTGGTGGCGAATATCAGACTCTATCACATCTGATATGCTCTTCATTCGCATCATAGAGATGTCCTGCCACCTGGAGTTCTTCTCCACTTTGATCACCTTCATGCTTCTCAGAGGAGACAACTTGATGTTAGGCACCTTCTCTGGCATGTCCGTAAACACGTAGTAGGTCACGGGCAAACCCACCATAAAGTGTTGCTCGGCTGAGTTCAGGAATGTGTGTAGGTAAGCATCAAGGTATCTTTTGAGGAAAAGAAAACAAGTCACTTTTCTGTTCGACTCTTATCACTCTACCTCCAGAGGAAACTGAGGTCCATTGATTCGTGCAACAAAATGTTGCAGATCTTCTTTCGTCTGCTGCTGCAAGTAAAAACGGTTTGCTGCAATGTGCTGGGGCAGTGGTATCTGATCTGGTGACCAGAACCGACAAAACAAACAGTAGCCTATGATTTTATCTGTAACTGCACTACAATTCATTTTAACACTAGATGCAGCATGTCCACTTCACATGTTTATGAGCACAGTAAAACATATATTTTCAAAGTCAGCTATAGTAACTATAAGCACTGGGTTTTTTGGGGGGTCATTCTTTTGTGTTTTGTTGTCATTTTTTACAGTTTGTTATACCCCTGTCTGCTTTAACAGAAACCTGGTGCAGCCAACTTTTATTTCTACAATCTGTCCAACCATCACCTAGTTAAACATTAATGCACTAAACATACAGTTGGCTGAGCTGGAGGAGGTATTTAGGTTTGACGACAGATTATCTTTAGAGTTATTACTTTATTCATGTGAAACCAACCTGCCCACAGCAAAGACTGTTAGAGCCACAGAGGATCCTTTCATCTTGTGCATCTCGTCGTAGAGGCGGGCGTCAAACAGCCCTTCCCAGATGATAGCAGCTTTCCAATATGTACAGGTTTGCACATCAGGTCTGGACCTGAAATATAAAACAAAAGTCTTTTTGTTAGACTGAATTCCCTTTTATAATACTCTTCTTTACCAACCTGAAGCTTACTACAGGAAATGTGTAACTTAAACACAATCTGTTCAGCCAAATTGTAAACGGTCTTCTGGTCTTACTGAAGATTGAGGCTGGCGTCCACACTGCTGTCCAGATTTTTTGCACTTTCCAAATGGCATTTCTCCATAGGTATGAAGCCTATTAAAGTCTAAAACAAAAAATAAAAACACATGTTCATTAAGTAATGTTAGCATTTAGGCTTACAGAAATTGTTCTTGTATGTAGTGTCCCGTAAATGTATCGCAGACTCACTTTACAGATGGAGATATTAAGTAGATAGCACAGAGTGTGATGGAAACAAAGAGCACACATTTGAAAACACTCCTCATCCTCTGAAGATGTCTGCGAAAAAAGAGCCAAAGATGTCAGATTAGTCAGATATCTCTGATTCTTAAAATGCAGAAGTGTGTGGCACCGTAGTTTAAACAATAACGTAGTATTTATTTTGTTTGTTTTTTATTTTAAAGATGTGAAATACCGCATTGTTGAAAAACGCTGGGGTCAAGGCTCAGTGTAAGGTGATCTCTCTTGTGAAAGAACGTGGCAGCAGCTGATTTTTCATGAATGAAACGGCACCTGAGAAAAGAAGAGGAAGTATTTTACTTATTGAAACAATTCTCATTGAATCTCATTGGTTCAAATTCGCCCATCTAGGTATGGCAGTGCTTTTCTTTTAACTTTCGAGATAGTGGAGGTGATAGGGTAGCTTAATATTGGTGTTGATTCCAAAATGATATTTTACAATATAAGATCTAAAAGTACAAGCTATGGAATATTAACACAAGCAGCCATTCAAGAAGTTTGCCAAAATAAAATACACTTACAAATTTGGTAACATTTAGATTTTATATATATTTTTTATTCCCCTATTCTCTGGAAGAGTTTAGTTAGAAAAGACACAAACAGTGCTAGTTATGTTGCGTTTTCCGGGAATTGCCAGTGTAAATAAAACAAACAAGTCCAACAATTAGACAAAAACCTTCATAAATTCTTGTCAATGTTCGAAAATATCACTCATAGTATGGAAACACCTTTAAACTGAATTCAGACTAAGAAAGACATTGTTGACCGGACCAATTGTGCACACAGGATAACGTAATTAAATTGACATACAAAGGTAACTTACCCGAGAGTCACCGGCATTCATCCATAATTCATCAAATACTAGCTTTACCAGGTAAATACCCCACCCTTGATGTTGTCTTAAGACACGATTTGTCTCCCTGCGGTTCAGCTTTGTGTTCTGGGTCAAAATGCAGAGGGGGGAGCTTCTTGTTCAAAGGTCTTCTCTGACGTTAACAGGAAAACTACCTGCCCCTCTGTTTTTCAGGTGTGTTATCTACCAACGGATGCCGCTCCTATTCACTTCTCATTAAGTCTTTATATGTCTACACCAACGCCCTCTGTTATCTAACACCTAACTGTCGCCTAACTGTAGTGAAAAAGTACGGAAGAGGATTAGGGCCACATTAGGACAATGTTTTGGGATGTGACTGAAAGTAAAAAAAACACTTTGATTCTGAGAAAAAAAAACTGAATTCTGACTTAAAGATGATTTTGTCAGGGTTGAGTGAAGCAGGCAGGACCCAAATACAGATTTAAACAGAAAATACCTTTATTTCAAGGCTAATGTACAAACAGAACTCTTCCCAGTGAACACAGTCAAGACAAACAAGGATCTCTGTTACGTCCCAACTAGGGGAAGAGGAATGCAACACACACACCAGTATGTAATTGGTAATAATTATAAGTGGTTTTATTACAGAACAGGATGAAACAAAAGGGAAGGCGTGCAGCCTGAACAAACAAAAGGGCCAAAAGGGCACAGGTTGATAACCCAACAAAAGGAGGACTCTAAAAAAGGAGTCTAATGGCATACAGGGAAAATAAATAATATAAAGAACGAAACAAAACCTCACTTTAAAAGTGGTACAACTAACCAAAGAATCTATACAAAACACAGCTAAACTAAAGGCGACAATCACAGAATCAAAAACGACTCTAACCACTAACTAATCACACAAGGTTAACCACAGTTCAACAGAATTCACTAAGGAGCAAGTAGCGAGAGGCGTCTGTTCACTCAACAGAGCCTCCAGAGTGGTGATAGTCCGCGGTCTTTGTACTCCTCCCCAGCAGGTGTGAGGCCGGCTGTGCGCTGCGATTGGATGATGTCAATCCAATCACTATCTTCAGAGGAGGACCAGAGGATGGGCAGCCAATGACGTCAGGGCTACTGCGCAGCTTATTTACATATTACACGCACAGCTGAAAACACTCACAGGCAGATTAATGAGCAGACAGAAACAGCAACCGTAACAATCTCACAAAGACTAACAGGAAAAACGAACCTAAATGCACACAGGACTAATCAAAGAAACTGTTCTATTGTTATAAGTGTTCACTATAACTTATAGGCTCTTGCATAGGAAAGGATTGGACCAACGTGTAGGTTGACTTGCTCTCGTTCGTTTATTAATCACCGATGCACAACATGTTACATCATAAAGGTTCCTACCCTATTATGCCTGATACTACAGAAACAAGACACAGGTGAGGAGGGAGGAGAAAACACAGGGGCACCAGGTGAACACAATAAGGAAATCAGACACAGGGGGGCAAACACAGAGACAAGAATCAACAGACAAGACAGGGGGTGAACACTTTTCAAAATAAAACAGGAAACCAGAGACAGACAAAACACAAAATAGAGAGACTGTGACAGACAGACCGTGACAGACGACCCCCACCCCCTTCAAGGGACGGATCCCAGACATCCCTAAAAAAAAAAGAGTTAAAAACGTCCAACAGGGTGGGTGGAGTGGGACCGGAGGAGGGACTCGGACGGACATCCCGGGGCAAAGCGGAAGCCGAGAAGGGGGTCTCGGGCGGATGGCCCGGGGGCAAGGCAGAGTTCGAGGAGGGGGTCTTGGGCGGACGGCCCGGGGGCAAGGCAGAGTTCGAGGAGGGGGTCTCGGGCGGACGGCCCGGGGGCAAGGCAGAGTTCAAAAAGGGGCGGTAAATATAATGGTATAAAAAATGGTGTAAATATTAAAAGTTCATTTCATTTACCTCACAATTTTGATAAATCCTGTTTCTTTTTTGCCTCGATCAAGATGACAAGGCCAAGATACCGATATGTTGGTTAGAGCTCAGCATCAAAATAACTTTACTTATCCTGTCAGATATTTGTGTGTTTTTTTACTTTGTTTTATAGAAATGTGAATAATTTAGTTCTGTTGATGTGACCGAGGAAATTGAATTTCTTCTTTCAAATGCATCTTACATAGCTGCAGTGGCGGTTCTAGACCAATTTGACTGGGGGGGCCACTGGGGGGCCAGTTATTTTCTGAGGGGGGCACAATAAATGCAGGACGAAAAAGAGAACTAGACTGTATGAAGTAGTTGCGCATAAGAAAACAATGCAATACAGTTATTGGTATTTGTTTCAGTACACTTGTTTATTTCAGATAGATCTTATAGTTATTACTGTTAGCTTCAGCTTAAGTTATAGTGCAATGTTTGCACTAACACCATATTTATATAAAAATAAAGGTAATGAACAGTTACATCTCTACTTTACATAAGGGTGTCTGCACAATCCCACATTACAGCAACAAAATCCTGCGGTGTTTGGCAAACCGAGTACCAGAAAATATACATTTAAAAAAAGAAAAAAAAAACTTTTCATTGTTAGGGGGGCCACAGGGGGGTCAGAGGTCAGTGTTAGGGAGGCACTGCCCCCCCCCCCTAGAACCGCCCCTGCATAGCTGTTCTTTATTTGATTTTAAGTATCTCGACATATCCAAGAACTGTATTCGTAAAATGTACCCCTCCCTCATCAACCTTGAAGTTTAGCCTCAGTTGTAGCACCGTGGCTGCTGGTGTGGCAGCCCAGCTCGATGAGGGAGGGGTACATGTTGTCAGATTGAGAAAAAAAATTCACCAGGAGAGTTTTCTTGACTAATAGAATGAATTCTGGGGGTTGGAGCTTAGACTTTCCGACTTTCAATTTTAATGACCACCCTACTGAGGCTAAACTTCAAGGTTGATGAGGGAGGGGTAAATGCTGTTGGAATTTGAATACAATTCACCAGGAGTGTTTTCCTGACTATCATAACGAATTCCGGTGGTTTGAGCTTAAAATAAATGAATTCGAAAATGTACATGGCACTAAGGACCACCCTAAGGAGCATCTTACTCCAATAGTACACATTTATAGAAAGAGTTCAGGCATCAGGAGTCACACCAGCTCATTCAAAGCTCATCTGGGTTAAACTGAAGTGCTATTTCATAATGAATATCAGACTGAAAGAACAACTAATGTCAATTAATGACAAAACTGGCGAAGTAAACAAACAAATGTACTTTCAATATTGATCGAGCTCTAATGATTTGTCAATGCAACTACAGCAAATTCTATTCAAATCCTTTTCTTCTACTAAAGCTTAGCAGAGTACAGCATACTGGGTTCTCCCTTTAAGCTTTCTTCAGAAACTGATACGATGATATTAAATGTCCATTCCTCCAACACATCTTTGAGAAATGGCAGGAAGCCACTTCAGTCACGGGATACATATGTTTCTATTGTTCCATTCTGAATGAACTAAAGGCAAGACATCCCTAACATAACGTTTCTCTGTTGTTAGCATGTATGTCTACGACCCCCATTTCAATACGTTGTCAAATCATTCAAATTGGATGCTTTGAAGACAACATATTAATCTGACTGTGAGCCTCTCCGCTCACACAGGGTTCAAATAGGGACGGAAAGAGCCGGTTGGTTCATCACAGGCGTTTATTAGCTCCAAACAAAGTATACACAGGTCTCAAACGGTCCTTTGGCGACCTTCCAGGATCCCGCCTACTGCAAAACAGACCAGAACCAGGTTACCACATGCTTTTATTCCGTAACTGATTACCTGATTCCGATCAGCTGTCTGGCCTCAGGCCGAGCCACTCCCTTCACTCCAGCAGCCGGCGCCCTAACCACACCCCCGCTGCCACACTGACTCACTGACATTATGGTGATTATATCTTAAATTGGTGAAGATATAATTAATAGACATTGTACATGAACACTGTGAATACAGTTAACGAAGAGCAGCACATCGCTTTACAGAAGAGGAAAGACTGACACACAAATCACACATTAACAGGGGGAAGAAAAGCTATTGAGCAGTGGCGAGCCGTCAGGGCCCTCTAGGCCCTCTGTGAGGGCCTAAGATATTCTAAAAAATAATATTTAAAAACATTTAAAAAATATATTATTTTTTTTAAATATATATTTTTTAAATATTATTTTTGTTATATTTTTACCGAAAAAAACTTGATTTAATTGTATTTAAAATAAAATTTCCAAAGAAATAAATCCTTCGAATCTGCCTGTTCAGTTTCTGTTTGAATGTGAAGGGTTACATGAAAAAAGCTCGTCTGGCCCTCTATGCGATTCACAGAGGGCCCGCTATAGTAAAACAACGAGAGAGTAATGTCAAGTGACAGAACAATTGACCAATCATATCTTCCCTCTAAATGGGAGGGCTTTATTATCGCGGACTTTATGACAAGTTCCGCCCGCTGCGCTGCCAAGTTTATGCATGTGATATATCAACGGGTCAAGCTAGGCGGAATTAGCATACGTTCATTCACGATGGCTCACGTTAGTGATAGTGATGACATCGTTGCGAAACTACTAACCGAGTCTTTTTCAAGAATGAGTTACACGGATAAATTGGAGTTAATTACCAAAGGGCGACCAACACCACAGCTTAATTTGGTTAAAAAAACCAAACGGTTCGAGAGGCATTTTAATATCGGCAATTACGCCAGATACAACTGGATGACCGGATCAACCAGGGAACAAAAGCTGTACTGCTGGGATTGCTTGCTTTTTGGTGCGGACAGTGGGTCATGGGCCAGAGATGGATATTCTGATTTAGGAAGTTTATCCAAATCAGCACATCGCCATCAGAATGCTTCAGGTCACCTCAGAGCTACTATTCGGCTTAAAACATTTGGGGACACCAGGATAGAGCTCCAGCTGGATGAGCAACAACGCCGGGGGTGTCATCCTTCATAATGAAAAGGTGAAGAGGAACCGAGGAATTTTGAAACGCCTGATAAATTGTGTGGTGTACTTGGGCAAGCAGGAGTGTCCGTTCCGAGGTCACGATGAGAGTGTAACTTCATCAAACAAGGGGAATTACATAGAGTTGCTGGATTTAGTGGCAGAATATGACAGCGACCTGCACACACACCTCGCCACATCAACAGTATTTACCGGCACATCTTCAAGGATTCAGAATGACCTGATCAGCGCTGTCGCTAGTGTAATGACGGATAGCATGAAAGAGGAGCTGAGGAAGGCACCTTTTGTTGCGGTCATGTTGGATGAAACGACAGACATTAGCAACGTGGCGCAGATGTCATATGTGCTTCGATATGTCACTGACGATGGGATAAAAGAGCGTTTCTTCAAGTACGAAGATGTGACAGAGGACAAACGAGCAGAGGCCATAGCTACACGGCTGCTGGAGTTCCTGAGGGAGAGTGGCTGTATTGACAAAGTGGTCGCGCAGTGCTACGATGGAGCAGCTGTTATGGCCTCTGGATTGAATGGGGTGCAAGCGAAAGTTAAGGAAACAATTCCACAGGCCCTTTTCATTCACTGCTATGCTCACATCTTAAATCTCGTCTTGTCAAAGGGAGCTTCCAAGATAAGAGAGTGTAAGGTCTTCTTCTCCCACCTCTCTGGCTTGGCCACCTTTTTCAGCCGCTCAGCAAAGCGCACCAAGCTACTGGATGATATTTGCCAGCATAGGCTTCCACGGGCAGCTCCTACTCGCTGGTGCTTTCATTCTCGCTTGGTGTGCACAGTGGCAGAGAAGACCAGGGAATTGAGAGAGGTAAGATAATAATAACAATGAACGTAATGGAAATATTAACAATAATAAATAAATGATTTAGTGTTGGAAACTACCCACTGATAAAAACATGAAGGTAAAGAACTATGCTAGTATTACATTAAATGAAAAGCTAATCTTAGTGTTTACTGGAGGTCTATAAGTTGTTTTTTCTAAACTAAGCATTACTCTCGTACAGTAGGTGTTCGAGCACATCGTAGACCATCACACAGAGTTTGATGACGAAACTGTTCATTGCTCTGATGGATACATCACCCTCCTTACCAGCTTCGATTTCAGCTTTTGGTTGAAAACCTTCCACGCTATCTTCTCCTACTCGGATGTTGTTTTTGAAATACTTCAGAACAAAGGTTTTGATATGCAGTTCTGCCTGGCCAGAGTGGATCAGCTACAGCGACAAATTGAACAGGAAAAGGGGAACTTTGACAGCGTCTACGATGAAACCCAGGCTTTGGTTGGTCCTCCGCGCGGCCGTGGAGCTCAAGGAGACGTTCGTGCACGGTACAGGGAGCTCCACTGCAGCGTAATTGACAGCCTGCTAACCCAGATTTCCAACCGCTTCAGTGACCACAAAAAGCTGGAATTCCTGGCCCTTCTGTACCCGCAACAGTTCGGGCATTACTGTAACTATTTCCCAACTGCTGCCTTGAACAGTTTGATGGAGAGCTATGGCGGATATTTCGACCAGCCTCGACTGCACACGGAACTCGCCGTGATGTACGGCATGTCTGACATTTTGGGGAAAAGCTCAGCCGACATTCATCAGTTTCTCCTCAAAAAAGGACTGAGTGAAAGCATGAAACAGGTGTACACCCTCTCATGCATCATCCTGACAATACCTGTGTCCACTGCCTCTGTGGAGAGGTCCTTCTCTGCGCTGAAGCGCATAAAAAGCTACTCGAGGTCCACGACTGGGCAAGTCCGACTGTCAGACTTGGCCTGAATTTCGATCGAGAAGGAATTGCTGATTGCTTTAAAAGCAAAGGATCAGCTGCATGACGACGCCATCAAGTACTTCATCCAAAAAGACAGGAGGATGGACTTTGTGTTTAGGTGATTTGATCATCAAAGGTAAGTCAAAGTGATTTTCAATGTGGGCCGCCGTGCCGACTTAATTCATTTGTAATTGTTACTTGGCTGTGGGTGCCCTGTCATGATAGGTGTTTATATAAATGGTGTTGTTTTGTGTGGTAGAGGGTCGCTGTCATTGATGCGTTTTGCACCCCGGGCCGCTGTTTTGATATTCCGCTGAAGTATAGGCTGTGACGTAAAAATGTTTTCTTTTTTTTTTCGAGGGAAGAGGGGGGTGGGGTCAGAGGGCCTAGGTAGAAAAGTCACGGCTCTCCACTGCTATTGAGATGTATAAAAAATTTGACAACATTTGAGTGTCAATAACTATCAGTTAAAAACAGAGATAGAGTGGCATTTCGCAAAGTGACATACAAATAAATAAGCTGGATCAACAAGTGCAGACAGTTTGATCAAACATGTAAAAAGTTGACTTATATACATCTGTAACCAGATGCAACAAAAACATTTGATATCCGGGTAAAATAAAAGCGTGTATTTATATAAGAAGTTGTCACTCCATTATGAAAATACTTGCAGATCTGCAAAGTAATTCCTGAGAGAACAAAATGAGCCAGGGAGCACGAGAACCTGAGACATTACATTTGTTAGCATTTGTCAAGTTTTTAAGGTGTGCGAAGTGTGTCATAATATTTTGGTGCCCACAGTAATCGGGTGACTTGTATGTCGCGCCTGAAACCGATGCTGGTATCCCAGCAGTACTCTGGAGAGAGAACCTTGCTGGGTTTGTGGAGCAGCATGTACTTGTTCAGATGGCTCTCATCGTGCCACAGAGCTTCCACATTGTTCCGTTTGTCCTCCATGATGCCCTGATAGCAGGCCTCGGTCAACGCTTTCACATTCTTCCACGAGCCTCCGAAGATGGCAGCGTGGTAGTAAAAATCCCCAGTTTTCATGTACGCCTTGGAGTTTGGGTTGCGGTCGTAGGTGTACAAATACTTTGGAAGGTGGTAGTAGTGGGCGTGGAGCAGAGCCACTGAATCCCCAAGAGCCTCTGATCCAAATCTGCCGGTAAATACCTGATCCACATCAAAGCAGAAGACGTGCGTGCAGTGGTGGCGAATATCAGACTCTATCACATCTGATATGCTCTTCATTCGCATCATAGAGATGTCCTGCCACCTGGAGTTCTTCTCCACTTTGATCACCTTCATGCTTCTCAGAGGAGACAACTTGATGTTAGGCACCTTCTCTGGCATGTCCGTAAACACGTAGTAGGTCACGGGCAAACCCACCATAAAGTGTTGCTCGGCTGAGTTCAGGAATGTGTGTAGGTAAGCATCAAGGTATCTTTTGAGGAAAAGAAAACAAGTCACTTTTCTGTTCGACTCTTATCACTCTACCTCCAGAGGAAACTGAGGTCCATTGATTCGTGCAACAAAATGTTGCAGATCTTCTTTCGTCTGCTGCTGCAAGTAAAAACGGTTTGCTGCAATGTGCTGGGGCAGTGGTATCTGATCTGGTGACCAGAACCGACAAAACAAACAGTAGCCTATGATTTTATCTGTAACTGCACTACAATTCATTTTAACACTAGATGCAGCATGTCCACTTCACATGTTTATGAGCACAGTAAAACATATATTTTCAAAGTCAGCTATAGTAACTATAAGCACTGGGTTTTTTGGGGGGTCATTCTTTTGTGTTTTGTTGTCATTTTTTACAGTTTGTTATACCCCTGTCTGCTTTAACAGAAACCTGGTGCAGCCAACTTTTATTTCTACAATCTGTCCAACCATCACCTAGTTAAACATTAATGCACTAAACATACAGTTGGCTGAGCTGGAGGAGGTATTTAGGTTTGACGACAGATTATCTTTAGAGTTATTACTTTATTCATGTGAAACCAACCTGCCCACAGCAAAGACTGTTAGAGCCACAGACGATCCTTTCATCTTGTGCATCTCGTCGTAGAGGCGGGCGTCAAACAGCCCTTCCCAGATGATGGCAGCTTTCCAATATGTACAGGTTTGCACATCAGGTCTGGACCTGAAATATAAAACAAAAGTCTTTTTGTTAGACTGAATTCCCTTTTATAATACTCTTCTTTACCAACCTGAAGCTTACTACAGGAAATGTGTAACTTAAACACGTCATATGCATCTAAATATTTTTAGTAGTATTGTTTTATATTTACACTCAACTTAGATTCAGTTCAATTCTGTTGCACCAAAACGTTAACTGCAATTTCAGGTTAAACGTATAAAATAGCTACCCTTCTGGTATGGATTAAGCACAAATAGTTTCATGTGGCTCCATTAATTCAGCCAACATTTATTTATAAATACACCTTCTTCTTAGGAATTATTCAAAAAGGTGAAATACAAAAACCACCACTTATTTGTTGTTGCTGCTTTATGTCCAATCAGATGAAACCTGCGGCTTCTCAACATGATAGATAAATGTCTGTGTTGGTCTCAGGACTATCTGTTCAGCCAAATTGTAAACGGTCTTCTGGTCTTACTGAAGATTGAGGCTGGCGTCCACACTGCTGTCCAGATATTTTGCACTTTCCAAATGGCATTTCTCCATAGGTATGAAGCCTATTAAAAGTCTAAAACAAAAAATAAAAACACGTGTTCATTAAGTAATGTTAGCATTTAGGCTTACAGAAATTGTTCTTGTATGTAGTGTCCCGTAAATATATCACAGACTCACTTTACAGATGGAGATATTAAGTAGATAGCACAGAGTGTGATGGGAACAAAGAGCACACATTTGAAAACACTCCTCATCCTCTGAAGATGTCTGCGAAAAAAGAGCCAAAGATGTCAGATTAGTCAGATATCTCTGATTCTTAAAATGCAGAAGTGTGTGGCACCGTAGTTTAAACAATAACGTAGTATTTATTTTGTTTGTTTTTTATTTTAAAGATGTGAAATACCGCATTGTTGAAAAACGCTGGGGTCAAGGCTCAGTGTAAGGTGATCTCTCTTGTGAAAGAACGTGGCAGCAGCTGATTTTTCATGAATGAAACGGCACCTGAGAAAAGAAGAGGAAGTATTTTACTTATTGAAACAATTCTCATTGAATCTCATTGGTTCAAATTCGCCCATCTAGGTATGGCAGTGCTTTTCTTTTAACTTTCGAGATAGTGGAGGTGATAGGGTAGCTTAATATTGGTGTTGATTCCAAAATGATATTTTACAATATAAGATCTAAAAGTACAAGCTATGGAATATTAACACAAGCAGCCATTCAAGAAGTTTGCCAAAATAAAATACACTTACAAATTTGGTAACATTTAGATTTTATATATATTTTTTATTCCCCTATTCTCTGGAAGAGTTTAGTTAGAAAAGACACAAACAGTGCTAGTTATGTTGCGTTTTCCGGGAATTGCCAGTGTAAATAAAACAAACAAGTCCAACAATTAGACAAAAACCTTCATAAATTCTTGTCAATGTTCGAAAATATCACTCATAGTATGGAAACACCTTTAAACTGAATTCAGACTAAGAAAGACATTGTTGACCGGACCAATTGTGCACACAGGATAACGTAATTAAATTGACATACAAAGGTAACTTACCCGAGAGTCACCGGCATTCATCCATAATTCATCAAATACTAGCTTTACCAGGTAAATACCCCACCCTTGATGTTGTCTTAAGACACGATTTGTCTCCCTGCGGTTCAGCTTTGTGTTCTGGGTCAAAATGCAGAGGGGGAGCTTCTTGTTCAAAGGTCTTCTCTGACGTTAACAGGAAAACTACCTGCCCCTCTGTTTTTCAGGTGTGTTATCTACCAACGGATGCCGCTCCTATTCACTTCTCATTAAGTCTTTATATGTCTACACCAACGCCCTCTGTTATCTAACACCTAACTGTCGCCTAACTGTAGTGAAAAAGTACGGAAGAGGATTAGGGCCACATTAGGACAATGTTTTGGGATGTGACTGAAAGTAAAAAAAACACTTTGATTCTGAGAAAAAAAAACTGAATTCTGACTTAAAGATGATGTTGTCAGGGTTGAGTGAAGCAGGCAGGACCCAAATACAGATTTAAACAGAAAATACCTTTATTTCAAGGCTAATGTACAAACAGAACTCTTCCCAGTGAACACAGTCAAGACAAACAAGGATCTCTGTTACGTCCCAACTAGGGGAAGAGAAATGCAACACACACACCAGTATGTAATTGGTAATAATTATAAGTGGTTTTATTACAGAACAGGATGAAACAAAAGGGAAGGCGTGCAGCCTGAACAAACAAAAGGGCCAAAAGGGCACAGGTTGATAACCCAACAAAAGGAGGACTCTAAAAAAGGAGTCTAATGGCATACAGGGAAAATAAATAATATAAAGAACGAAACAAAACCTCACTTTAAAAGTGGTACAACTAACCAAAGAATCTATACAAAACACAGCTAAACTAAAGGCGACAATCACAGAATCAAAAACGACTCTAACCACTAACTAATCACACAAGGTTAACCACAGTTCAACAGAATTCACTAAGGAGCAAGTAGCGAGAGGCGTCTGTTCACTCAACAGAGCCTCCAGAGTGGTGATAGTCCGCGGTCTTTGTACTCCTCCCCAGCAGGTGTGAGGCCGGCTGTGCGCTGCGATTGGATGATGTCAATCCAATCACTATCTTCAGAGGAGGACCAGAGGATGGGCAGCCAATGACGTCAGGGCTACTGCGCAGCTTATTTACATATTACACGCACAGCTGAAAACACTCACAGGCAGATTAATGAGCAGACAGAAACAGCAACCGTAACAATCTCACAAAGACTAACAGGAAAAACGAACCTAAATGCACACAGGACTAATCAAAGAAACTGTTCTATTGTTATAAGTGTTCACTATAACTTATAGGCTCTTGCATAGGAAAGGATTGGACCAACGTGTAGGTTGACTTGCTCTCGTTCGTTTATTAATCACCGATGCACAACATGTTACATCATAAAGGTTCCTACCCTATTATGCCTGATACTACAGAAACAAGACACAGGTGAGGAGGGAGGAGAAAACACAGGGGCACCAGGTGAACACAATCAGGAAATCAGACACAGGGGGGCAAACACAGAGACAAGAATCAACAGACAAGACAGGGGGTGAACACTTTTCAAAATAAAACAGGAAACCAGAGACAGACAAAACACAAAATAGAGAGACTGTGACAGACAGACCGTGACAGACGACCCCCACCCCCTTCAAGGGACGGATCCCAGACATCCCTAAAAAAAAAAGAGTTAAAAACGTCCAACAGGGTGGGTGGAGTGGGACCGGAGGAGGGACTCGGACGGACATCCCGGGGCAAAGCGGAAGCCGAGAAGGGGGTCTCGGGCGGACGGCCCGGGGGCAAGGCAGAGTTCGAGGAGGGGGCAAGGCAGAGTTCGAGGAGGGGGTCTCGGGCGGACGGCCCGGGGGCAAGGCAGAGTTCAAAAAGGGGCGGTAAATATAATGGTATAAAAAATGGTGTAAATATTAAAAGTTCATTTCATTTACCTCACAATTTTGATAAATCCTGTTTCTTTTTTGCCTCGATCAAGATGACAAGGCCAAGATACCGATATGTTGGTTAGAGCTCAGCATCAAAATAACTTTACTTATCCTGTCAGATATTTGTGTGTTTTTTTACTTTGTTTTATAGAAATGTGAATAATTTAGTTCTGTTGATGTGACCGAGGAAATTGAATTTCTTCTTTCAAATGCATCTTACATAGCTGCAGTGGCGGTTCTAGACCAATTTGACTGGGGGGGCCACTGGGGGGCCAGTTATTTTCTGAGGGGGGCACAATAAATGCAGGACGAAAAAGAGAACTAGACTGTATGAAGTAGTTGCGCATAAGAAAACAATGCAATACAGTTATTGGTATTTGTTTCAGTACACTTGTTTATTTCAGATAGATCTTATAGTTATTACTGTTAGCTTCAGCTTAAGTTATAGTGCAATGTTTGCACTAACACCATATTTATATAAAAATAAAGGTAATGAACAGTTACATCTCTACTTTACATAAGGGTGTCTGCACAATCCCACATTACAGCAACAAAATCCTGCGGTGTTTGGCAAACCGAGTACCAGAAAATATACATTTAAAAAAAGAAAAAAAAAACTTTTCATTGTTAGGGGGGCCACAGGGGGGTCAGAGGTCAGTGTTAGGGAGGCACTGCCCCCCCCCCCCCCTAGAACCGCCCCTGCATAGCTGTTCTTTATTTGATTTTAAGTATCTCGACATATCCAAGAACTGTATTCGTAAAATGTACCCCTCCCTCATCAACCTTGAAGTTTAGCCTCAGTTGTAGCACCGTGGCTGCTGGTGTGGCAGCCCAGCTTGATGAGGGAGGGGTACATGTTGTCAGATTGAGAAAAAAAATTCACCAGGAGAGTTTTCTTGACTAATAGAATGAATTCTGGGGGTTGGAGCTTAGACTTTCCGACTTTCAATTTTAATGACCACCCTACTGAGGCTAAACTTCAAGGTTGATGAGGGAGGGGTAAATGCTGTTGGAATTTGAATACAATTCACCAGGAGAGTTTTCCTGACTATCATAACGAATTCCGGTGGTTTGAGCTTAAAATAAATGAATTCGAAAATGTACATGGCACTAAGGACCACCCTAAGGAGCATCTTACTCCAATTGTACAAATTTATAGAAAGAGTTCAGGCATCAGGAGTCACACCAGCTCATTCAAAGCTCATCTGGGTTAAACTGAAGTGCTATTTCATAATGAATATCAGACTGAAAGAACAACTAATGTCAATTAATGACAAAACTGGCGAAGTAAACAAACAAATGTACTTTCAATATTGATCGAGCTCTAATGATTTGTCAATGCAACTTCAGCAAATTCTATTCAAATCCTTTTCTTCTACTAAAGCTTAGCAGAGTACAGCATACTGGGTTCTCCCTTTAAGCTTTCTTCAGAAACTGATACGATGATATTAAATGTCCATTCCTCCAACACATCTTTGAGAAATGGCAGGAAGCCACTTCAGTCACGGGATACATATGTTTCTATTGTTCCATTCTGAATGAACTAAAGGCAAGACATCCCTAACATAACGTTTCTCTGTTGTTAGCATGTATGTCTACGACCCCCATTTCAATACGTTGTCAAATCATTCAAATTGGATGCTTTGAAGACAACATATTAATCTGACTGTGAGCCTCTCCGCTCACACAGGGTTCAAATAGGGACGGAAAGAGCCGGTTGGTTCATCACAGGCGTTTATTAGCTCCAAACAAAGTATACACAGGTCTCAAACGGTCCTTTGGCGACCTTCCAGGATCCCGCCTACTGCAAAACAGACCAGAACCAGGTTACCACATGCTTTTATTCCGTACCTGATTACCTGATTCCGATCAGCTGTCTGGCCTCAGGCCGAGCCACTCCCTTCACTCCAGCAGCCGGCGCCCTAACCACACCCCGCTGCCACACTGACTCACTGACATTATGGTGATTATATCTTAAATTGGTGAAGATATAATTAATAGACATTGTACATGAACACTGTGAATACAGTTAACGAAGAGCAGCACATCGCTTTACAGAAGAGGAAAGACTGACACACAAATCACACATTAACAGGGGGAAGAAAAGCTATTGAGCAGTGGCGAGCCGTCAGGGCCCTCTAGGCCCTCTGTGAGGGCCTAAGATATTCTAAAAATAATATTTAAAAACATTTAAAAAATATATTATTTTTTTTAAATATATATTTTTTAAATATTATTTTTGTTATATTTTTACCGAAAAAAACTTGATTTAATTGTATTTAAAATAAAATTTCCAAAGAAATAAATCCTTCGAATCTGCCTGTTCAGTTTCTGTTTGAATGTGAAGGGTTACATGAAAAAAGCTCGTCTGGCCCTCTATGCGATTCACAGAGGGCCCGCTATAGTAAAACAACGAGAGAGTAATGTCAAGTGACAGAACAATTGACCAATCATATCTTCCCTCTAAATGGGAGGGCTTTATTATCGCGGACTTTATGACAAGTTCCGCCCGCTGCGCTGCCAAGTTTATGCATGTGATATATCAACGGGTCAAGCTAGGCGGAATTAGCATACGTTCATTCACGATGGCTCACGTTAGTGATAGTGATGACATCGTTGCGAAACTACTAACCGAGTCTTTTTCAAGAATGAGTTACACGGATAAATTGGAGTTAATTACCAAAGGGCGACCAACACCACAGCTTAATTTGGTTAAAAAAACCAAACGGTTCGAGAGGCATTTTAATATCGGCAATTACGCCAGATACAACTGGATGACCGGATCAACCAGGGAACAAAAGCTGTACTGCTGGGATTGCTTGCTTTTTGGTGCGGACAGTGGGTCATGGGCCAGAGATGGATATTCTGATTTAGGAAGTTTATCCAAATCAGCACATCGCCATCAGAATGCTTCAGGTCACCTCAGAGCTACTATTCGGCTTAAAACATTTGGGGACACCAGGATAGAGCTCCAGCTGGATGAGCAACAACGCCGGGGTGTCATCCTTCATAATGAAAAGGTGAAGAGGAACCGAGGAATTTTGAAACGCCTGATAAATTGTGTGGTGTACTTGGGCAAGCAGGAGTGTCCGTTCCGAGGTCACGATGAGAGTGTAACTTCATCAAACAAGGGGAATTACATAGAGTTGCTGGATTTAGTGGCAGAATATGACAGCGACCTGCACACACACCTCGCCACATCAACAGTATTTACCGGCACATCTTCAAGGATTCAGAATGACCTGATCAGCGCTGTCGCTAGTGTAATGACGGATAGCATGAAAGAGGAGCTGAGGAAGGCACCTTTTGTTGCGGTCATGTTGGATGAAACGACAGACATTAGCAACGTGGCGCAGATGTCATATGTGCTTCGATATGTCACTGACGATGGGATAAAAGAGCGTTTCTTCAAGTACGAAGATGTGACAGAGGACAAACGAGCAGAGGCCATAGCTACACGGCTGCTGGAGTTCCTGAGGGAGAGTGGCTGTATTGACAAAGTGGTCGCGCAGTGCTACGATGGAGCAGCTGTTATGGCCTCTGGATTGAATGGGGTGCAAGCGAAAGTTAAGGAAACAATTCCACAGGCCCTTTTCATTCACTGCTATGCTCACATCTTAAATCTCGTCTTGTCAAAGGGAGCTTCCAAGATAAGAGAGTGTAAGGTCTTCTTCTCCCACCTCTCTGGCTTGGCCACCTTTTTCAGCCGCTCAGCAAAGCGCACCAAGCTACTGGATGATATTTGCCAGCATAGGCTTCCACGGGCAGCTCCTACTCGCTGGTGCTTTCATTCTCGCTTGGTGTGCACAGTGGCAGAGAAGACCAGGGAATTGAGAGAGGTAAGATAATAATAACAATGAACGTAATGGAAATATTAACAATAATAAATAAATGATTTAGTGTTGGAAACTACCCACTCATAAAAACATGAAGGTAAAGAACTATGCTAGTATTACATTAAATGAAAAGCTAATCTTAGTGTTTACTGGAGGTCTATAAGTTGTTTTTTCTAAACTAAGCATTACTCTCGTACAGTAGGTGTTCGAGCACATCGTAGACCATCACACAGAGTTTGATGACGAAACTGTTCATTGCTCTGATGGATACATCACCCTCCTTACCAGCTTCGATTTCAGCTTTTGGTTGAAAACCTTCCACGCTATCTTCTCCTACTCGGATGTTGTTTTTGAAATACTTCAGAACAAAGGTTTTGATATGCAGTTCTGCCTGGCCAGAGTGGATCAGCTACAGCGACAAATTGAACAGGAAAAGGGGAACTTTGACAGCGTCTACGATGAAACCCAGGCTTTGGTTGGTCCTCCGCGCGGCCGTGGAGCTCAAGGAGACGTTCGTGCACGGTACAGGGAGCTCCACTGCAGCGTAATTGACAGCCTGCTAACCCAGATTTCCAACCGCTTCAGTGACCACAAAAAGCTGGAATTCCTGGCCCTTCTGTACCCGCAACAGTTCGGGCATTACTGTAACTATTTCCCAACTGCTGCCTTGAACAGTTTGATGGAGAGCTATGGCGGATATTTCGACCAGCCTCGACTGCACACGGAACTCGCCGTGATGTACGGCATGTCTGACATTTTGGGGAAAAGCTCAGCCGACATTCATCAGTTTCTCCTCAAAAAAGGACTGAGTGAAAGCATGAAACAGGTGTACACCCTCTCATGCATCATCCTGACAATACCTGTGTCCACTGCCTCTGTGGAGAGGTCCTTCTCTGCGCTGAAGCGCATAAAAAGCTACTCGAGGTCCACGACTGGGCAAGTCCGACTGTCAGACTTGGCCTGAATTTCGATCGAGAAGGAATTGCTGATTGCTTTAAAAGCAAAGGATCAGCTGCATGACGACGCCATCAAGTACTTCATCCAAAAAGACAGGAGGATGGACTTTGTGTTTAGGTGATTTGATCATCAAAGGTAAGTCAAAGTGATTTTCAATGTGGGCCGCCGTGCCGACTTAATTCATTTGTAATTGTTACTTGGCTGTGGGTGCCCTGTCATGATAGGTGTTTATATAAATGGTGTTGTTTTGTGTGGTAGAGGGTCGCTGTCATTGATGCGTTTTGCACCCCGGGCCGCTGTTTTGATATTCCGCTGAAGTATAGGCTGTGACGTAAAAATGTTTTCTTTTTTTTTTTTTCGAGGGAAGAGGGGGGTGGGGTCAGAGGGCCTAGGTAGAAAAGTCACGGCTCTCCACTGCTATTGAGATGTATAAAAAATTTGACAACATTTGAGTGTCAATAACTATCAGTTAAAAACAGAGATAGAGTGGCATTTCGCAAAGTGACATACAAATAAATAAGCTGGATCAACAAGTGCAGACAGTTTGATCAAACATGTAAAAAGTTGACTTATATACATCTGTAACCAGATGCAACAAAAACATTTGATATCCGGGTAAAATAAAAGCGTGTATTTATATAAGAAGTTGTCACTCCATTATGAAAATACTTGCAGATCTGCAAAGTAATTCCTGAGAGAACAAAATGAGCCAGGGAGCACGAGAACCTGAGACATTACATTTGTTAGCATTTGTCAAGTTTTTAAGGTGTGCGAAGTGTGTCATAATATTTTGGTGCCCACAGTAATCGGGTGACTTGTATGTCGCGCCTGAAACCGATGCTGGTATCCCAGCAGTACTCTGGAGAGAGAACCTTGCTGGGTTTGTGGAGCAGCATGTACTTGTTCAGATGGCTCTCATCGTGCCACAGAGCTTCAACATTGTTCTGTTTGTCCTCCATGATGCCCTGATAGCAGGCCTCGGTCAACGCTTTCACATTCTTCCACGAGCCTCCGAAGATGGCAGCGTGGTAGTAAAAATCCCCAGTTTTCATGTACGCCTTGGAGTTTGGGTTGCGGTCGTAGGTATAAAAATACTTTGGAAGGTGGTAGTAGTGGGCGTGGAGCAGAGCCACTGAATCCCCAAGAGCCTCTGATCCAAATCTGCCGGTAAATACCTGATCCACATCAAAGCAGAAGACGTGCGTGCAGTGGTGGCGAATATCAGACTCTATCACATCTGATATGCTCTTCATTCGCATCATAGAGATGTCCTGCCACCTGGAGTTCTTCTCCACTTTGATCACCTTCATGCTTCTCAGAGGAGACAACTTGATGTTAGGCACCTTCTCTGGCATGTCCGTAAACACGTAGTAGGTCACGGGCAAACCCACCATAAAGTGTTGCTCGGCTGAGTTCAGGAATGTGTGTAGGTAAGCATCAAGGTATCTTTTGAGGAAAAGAAAACAAGTCACTTTTCTGTTCGACTCTTATCACTCTACCTCCAGAGGAAACTGAGGTCCATTGATTCGTGCGACAAAATGTTGCAGATCTTCTTTCGTCTGCTGCTGCAAGTAAAAACGGTTTGCTGCAATGTGCTGGGGCAGTGGTATCTGATCTGGTGACCAGAACCGACAAAACAAACAGTAGCCTATGATTTTATCTGTAACTGCACTACAATTCATTTTAACACTAGATGCAGCATGTCCACTTCACATGTTTATGAGCACAGTAAAACATATATTTTCAAAGTAAGCTATAGTAACTATAAGCACTGGGTTTTTTGGGGGGTCATTCTTTTGGTCATTTTTTACAGTTTGTTATACCCCTGTCTGCTTTAACAGAAACCTGGTGCAGCCAACTTTTATTTCTACAATCTGTCCAACCATCACCTAGTTAAACATTAATGCACTAAACATACAGTTGGCTGAGCTGGAGGAGGTATTTAGGTTTGACGACAGATTATCTTTAGAGTTATTACTTTATTCATGTGAAACCAACCTGCCCACAGCAAAGACTGTTAGAGCCACAGAGGATCCTTTCATCTTGTGCATCTCGTCGTAGAGGCGGGCGTCAAACAGCCCTTCCCAGATGATGGCAGCTTTCCAATATGTACAGGTTTGCACATCAGGTCTGGACCTGAAATATAAAACAAAAGTCTTTTTGTTAGACTGAATTCCCTTTTATAATACTCTTCTTTACCAACCTGAAGCTTACTACAGGAAATGTGTAACTTAAACACAATCTGTTCAGCCAAATTGTAAACGGTCTTCTGGTCTTACTGAAGATTGAGGCTGGCGTCCACACTGCTGTCCAGATTTTTTGCACTTTCCAAATGGCATTTCTCCATAGGTATGAAGCCTATTAAAAGTCTAAAACAAAAAATAAAAACACATGTTCATTAAGTAATGTTAGCATTTAGGCTTACAGAAATTGTTCTTGTATGTAGTGTCCCGTAAATGTATCGCAGACTCACTTTACAGATGGAGATATTAAGTAGATAGCACAGAGTGCGATGGGAACAAAGAGCACACATTTGAAAACACTCCTCATCCTCTGAAGATGTCTGCGAAAAAAGAGCCAAAGATGTCAGATTAGTCAGATATCTCTGATTCTTAAAATGCAGAAGTGTGTGGCACCGTAGTTTAAACAATAACGTAGTATTTATTTTGTTTGTTTTTTATTTTAAAGATGTGAAATACCGCATTGTTGAAAAACGCTGGGGTCAAGGCTCAGTGTAAGGTGATCTCTCTTGTGAAAGAACGTGGCAGCAGCTGATGTTTCATGAATGAAACGGCACCTGAGAAAAGAAGAGGAAGTATTTTACTTATTGAAACAATTCTCATTGAATCTCATTGGTTCAAATTCGCCCATCTAGGTATGGCAGTGCTTTTCTTTTAACTTTCGAGATAGTGGAGGTGATAGGGTAGCTTAATATTGGTGTTGATTCCAAAATGATATTTTACAATATAAGATCTAAAAGTACAAGCTATGGAATATTAACACAAGCAGCCATTCAAGAAGTTTGCCAAAATAAAATACACTTACAAATTTGGTAACATTTAGAATTTATATATATTTTTTATTCCCCTATTCTCTGGAAGAGTTTAGTTAGAAAAGACACAAACAGTGCTAGTTATGTTGCGTTTTCCGGGAATTGCCAGTGTAAATAAAACAAACAAGTCCAACAATTAGACAAAAACCTTCATAAATTCTTGTCAATGTTCGAAAATATCACTCATAGTATGGAAACACCTTTAAACTGAATTCAGACTAAGAAAGACATTGTTGACCGGACCAATTGTGCACACAGGATAACGTAATTAAATTGACATACAAAGGTAACTTACCCGAGAGTCACCGGCATTCATCCATAATTCATCAAATACTAGCTTTACCAGGTAAATACCCCACCCTTGATGTTGTCTTAAGACACGATTTGTCTCCCTGCGGTTCAGCTTTGTGTTCTGGGTCAAAATGCAGAGGGGGAGCTTCTTGTTCAAAGGTCTTCTCTGACGTTAACAGGAAAACTACCTGCCCCTCTGTTTTTCAGGTTTCCAACAGATGCCGCTCCTATTCACTTCTCATGAAGTCTTTATATGTCTACACCAACGCCCTCTGTTATCTAACACCTAACTGTCGCTCATAGTTCGACGCATGACTTAAAAGCTGTGAGCTCATGAGGGCTCAGGGACGCTCGCAACTCTTCTGGACAGATTTATACATTTTTTTTTATCACACTCCATTATTGAGAAATACCACCCCATGTGCAAGAGCCTGATTTCCACATTCACAACATACATGATGGACATGCCAGTTAATGATGAAGGGAAAAAGTGAAAAAGTACGGAAGAGGATTAGGGCCACATTAGGACAATGTTTTGGGATGTGACTGAAAGTAAAAAAAACACTTTGATTCTGAGAAAAAAAAACTGAATTCTGACTTAAAGATGATTTTGTCAGGGTTGAGTGAAGCAGGCAGGACCCAAATACAGATTTAAACAGAAAATACCTTTATTTCAAGGCTAATGTACAAACAGAACTCTTCCCAGTGAACACAGTCAAGGATCTCTGTTACGTCCCAACTAGGGGAAGAGGAATGCAACACACACACCAGTATGTAATTGGTAATAATTATAAGTGGTTTTATTACAGAACAGGATGAAACAAAAGGGAAGGCGTGCAGCCTGAACAAACAAAAGGGCCAAAAGGGCACAGGTTGATAACCCAACAAAAGGAGGACTCTAAAAAAGGAGTCTAATGGCATACAGGGAAAACAATTAATATAAAGAACGAAACAAAACCTCACTTTAAAAGTGGTACAACTAACCAAAGAATCTATACAAAACACAGCTAAACTAAAGGCGACAATCACAGAATCAAAAACGACTAACCACTAACTAATCACACAAGGTTAACCACAGTTCAACAGAATTCACTAAGGAGCAAGTAGCGAGAGGCGTCTGTTCACTCAACAGAGCCTCCAGAGTGGTGATAGTCCGCGGCCTTTGTACTCCTCCCCAGCAGGTGTGCGCCGGCTGTGCGCTGCGATTGGATGACGTCAATTCTGACTTAAAGATGATTTTACTTTTGGTCTGATGCCAAAAATGTTTTCCCATGTGGCCCTAATCCTCTTCAATAAAAAAACGAAAAATAAGCTAAACTTGTATATTTTTCGTTGTTTTATTAGTGGGTTTAGTTTGTGTGAGAAGGTGTGGCACTGCACAATCATACCTTAATGATGACGAGCATTTTTACAAAGCTCCATTAAAGGGGACCTATCATGCAAAATGCACTTTTGTACGTCTTTTATACATGAATATGTGTCCCCGGTGTGTCAGGGAACTCACCAAGTGTCAGAAAACACAACCCTCTCTCTTTTCCTCCATATACCTAAATCTCTAAAAACGGGGCTGCAACGGAGCTGATCCAGACGTTAATTTTTCTGATGTCAGAAAAGGGGTGCTCCGCCTATATGGGCCACTCTCCACATATCAGGGGAATGGGGGGTTGGGCTACGGCCACGGCCATTGACGCTCGAAAGCGCTGGAGACGCTGTAGTACATATGCCAGGCCTGTAACTGGCGCTGTAGTCTGCCACAAAAGCAGCGAAGAAGACTTCCCGCGCATGGTTGCCCTTCTGTTTATTCTCCGCTGTGGCTCTTTTTCTCCCTCCCAGAGGCAAGCGTTTGCTCCTGCTGCTGTAATTCAATGCAATCCCTCCCTCGCTGTAATTCTCTCCGGTAGTCCACCAGCAGATGACAAACACCTACCTCTCCGCCTCTTCCAAGGGACGAGGGGACCGTGCGGCAGAGTTTCAGTTAGATTTTTTTCCGCCGGTCAACATGTCCGTTAAATTTTAAATCTTCTGGACAAAATTAGAAAAGTGCCGGTCAAAGGTCTTCTTTGTTATTTATTGAGCTTTAAAACAAATGAATAACGACTCTATATAATCATATAAGAATAAAACACGGAGGACGGAGCCTCTCTTTTCCTCCTGCAGCTCATTTGCATTAAAACTACGTCACAGAATCAGGCCTTGCAAAAACAGGGCTGGAAAAGAGCAAATAGAGCGAAATGAGGCATGGATAAAATGCATGATCTGTTTGGTATTTTGAAAAAAAAACTTCACAGACATGTTTTATATATGGCCCTACAATATATTTGTCAAATATAGCATGATAGGTCCACTTTAAGTGATATTCTATGGTACAACCATTCTCACAACTTGAGACTTTCTGATGTGTATCGACTTCACACATTTTAAAAAGCCTGCACTTTGTTGCTATTCAATGGAATCATCACTATGCTGGTTATCAATCAATCAATCAATGTTTATTTATATAGCCCAATATCACAAATGTTACATTTGTCTCAGTGGACTTTACAGTTTGTACAAAATATCAGTATGACAATACCACACCCTCTGTCCTTAGACCCTCACATCGTACAAGGAAAAACTTCCGAAGAAAACCCACAGTTTAAAGGGAAAAATGGGAGAAACCTCAGGGAGAGCAACAGAGGAGGGATCCCTCTCCCAGGACGGACAGACGTGCAATAGATGCCTGGTTATATCTCTCACAGGCTCCGCCCTCTACTGGACTCTATGGGTACTACCTTATCATGCAAGCATTCACCTACTGAGACTTCTATATGTAGCCGGCCCCGGGGCGGGCTTACTTGAATGCGCGCGCATCTCACCGTATAAAAGGAGGCCTCGCCTCCTGACTGTCATCCCTTTCTCTTCAGCGAGCGGAAGTGAAACACTGAGCAAGAGACGTGAAAAGAGAAAGAGAAAAGCAAGCATGGAACCACTCCTTGAGCACCGGACCTGCCCGACATGCCCTGGCCTGATCGCGGGGGCTGATCCGCACCGCCTGTGCTTCCAGTGTCTGGGGCCGGACCACGCCGAGGACGGCCTGAACCCGTCGCCGGCCTGCAACGCCTGCCGAATCATTTTCAGGACCTCGAGGTGGTGGAGATGGGGGAACAGGAGGACGAGGTGCCATTCATGTTCACCCTCCCGAGGGGCCAGGTGGCCGCTTTCCGGGAGGAGGAAGATGACGAGGACGCTTCGTTGTCCGGTATTTTCGGGTCCGGCGGCCAGGAGGGTCCAGCACACATGTCTGCGCGTCCGGCCTTCATCTCGCCCCCGTTGCTAGATATCTGGAAGTGTGTGAAGGCGGCGTGGAATATTTGGACACAATGTTCAGGCTCGGAGCACAGATGGCGGCTGCGGCCAATAATCTCGGCGTGTTGGGTGTCTCCCTGATTACCCCTCAGGCAGACGCCCCCGCCCTCCCGCCTCAGGACGGGAGCGATTATTATTATTATGTTACGTAATGTGGTGTTACTATGGCAACACATCCCTCGCCATAAAACAGCAGAAGACTTCAGATAATGGTTAATGGTCCTGCCCTCAACAGCTCTACGCCAAATCTGAGATCTCATCATATGCCGTTTCCATGGAAACGCATCCCTCGCCATAAAACATGATGTTGCTGTAGCTCCAATGGACACGGTCCGGTCGTCCCACAATCTTCACCTGTATATCACCTCTCCATGCCTAAACAGCTCTACGTCCAATCTGACATCTCACCATATGCCGTTTCCATGGAAACGCATCCCTCGCCATAAAACACGATGTTGTCGTAACGCCTATGAAAAGGGTCAAAACAGCACCAGAGTTCAAATAATGGTTAACGGTCCAGCCCTCAACAGCTCTACGTCAATTATGGGGTGTTATCATATGCCGTTTCCATCGTTTTCCATCCCTCGCCATAAAAGACGATATACGGGGTGGACCCGTTCAAATCCAGTTTTGGACAGTCTGCCGTGGTTCCATCCCATTTCAAGTGCTGTTCGATGCTCGGCACACTCTCCAATCACAGAGCTTGAGGACTATCACGGGGTTTGTCAAGCGGAGAGAATACTTATTTCCGGGTGTAATATTCTGTAAAGCAAATGAGCTGCTCCGACCCTCGGTCCTGACGGACTCCAACTTGTGTTTATTAATCAAACAAATAAATAAACACAAGGATAATGATGTGTTATTGTTGAGTAAATGGAGAATTGCACAGGGGAAAATAACGTATCTATCTATGCCACAATTTTAGATGTGAATGTTGTTAAACTAATACGTTTGCGCTGTGGACCAACACTATACATTGACGGGGAAGGGGGTAGCAATACATATAACACCATTAAACAGTTACACAACATAACAGTAATAATATCGATAGCAGCGTCCCTAGCAACCACCTTGGTAACAATGAAAACGTTGTATCGACACAATTTCCTGAAGTAATCTTCATAATAACAAGCAAACTAAAGATCATGTACATCCACTGCACACATAATCTGAAATAACAACTCATATTTCTCGCATCAAATGACATCAAAACGCATTTTAATGGCCAAACTAATTTTAAAATAGGCATTTTACACCGAGAATAAAACGAAGTTCGGCCATGTTTTTTTTTTCTGCATGGAGAAATGTGAAGATCACGTGACAGACGCCAGCCATTGGAATGAATGGTGAAAAAAAACATAGGGATCTTACAATTTCAGAGGCGTTTTTGTAGAAATACTACGTCCTACGTTGTGGACCAACGTAGTTATTACACGTTTTTGTATGAGACTGGGTTGGTTGAACCCATACCGTGTTCCTGTTAGTGTTAGAAAAGGGCAAGGAAGAAACACTTCTAAAAAGGTAAGATCCATTGATTTGACACACACACACACACACACACACACACACACACACACACACACACACACACACACACACACACACACACACACACACACACACACACACACACACACACACACACACACACACACACACACACACACACCACACACACACACACACACACACACACACACACACACACACACACACACACACACACACACACACACACACACACACACACACACACCACACACACACACACACACACACACACACACACACACACACACACACACACACACACACACACACACACACACACACACACACACACACACACACACACACACACACACACACACACACACACACACACAGTATTATTAGATATTAATAGGAGACACAGTTAGACAAACTAATACTTGTCTAGTCTCCCATCTTTGTTGCAGCCTATGAGCCAGGCTGTAATAGCTTTATTTAAACATTAAAGAATACTTTAGGTATTAACTATAACTATTAAGCCTGTCAAAGTACTAATATATTGCTTTCCTGCAATGTTAACTACTGCATGTTTAAGCACTTATTTGAACTGATATTATATGGGCTCAGAACAGTCTCATAATACACACATGCACACAGAAGGATTCACACTTGTATTTCATGATCCGCAAAAGGATTCAAACTTGTATTTCTGGATCCACACTTGTGTTTTTCAATGCACACACAAATGTGTTCCGTTTCATGCATCATGCAATCCAAATACAGAAAAAAGTTTTACATATGTATTTT